GGATGATGAAAAACTTATTTTGAAGTAACAGAGCCACTTAATCCAACAGGTGAATTGTAAGTTTATTTAAATCTTGCAGTAATCATAATCTTTCAGGCCCCTGTTGTCCCATAAAACTGGTACTCAAGGTGAAGTTGCAAGAGAAGTATAAGGGAAGAAATCTCCACTGTTCTGATCATACACTGTAAGAGTTGGGGTAGGAGATGCCCTGAAGAGACACTATGAAATAGTTTCTGAAGACTTGTAGAAAAAGAAACTCATCCAGTTGATGACATCAGACCTGAGAAAATAATACATAGCTAGTTGTTTTACACTGGAGAATACTCCCTTTACCAGGTCATAGCAGTGAAGGAATTCTACTCTTTTCCTTCTCTTTTTTTTTTTTTTCCTGAGAATGTATAATTTATACCATGCATATTGCTACTTACTTTTTTGCAATACTTCTTTCCCAATTTGCCACATTACTCTAGATGTTCCTTACAGAAACAGAGTGCAGAAGAATGTAGTTTGGACTTATTTCTTTAATGGTAATTTCAGATTCTTTCTCAACTAGATTTCACATAGCACATATTCTAAGGAATTAAAAAAATTAATTCTAAGGAATTAAAAAATTAAAAAAAATTATTTGAAGAAAGCAATCCTGTCTTGTCTCATCCTTCATCTTCACAGGACTGCAAGGAAGTTAGAGGGTTTCATTAGAAGATGATGCCAGAGAGTATAAATCAGAAGAGGACACTCTTTTGGTAGTTGTGAAGAGACTGGTAGGTTTCTGTCAGCCTGAAGAGAAAGTGGGAACAGGCAAGGAAGTGATACTCTTCCAAAAGGAGAAAAAAACCCCTGAACTGAATTTTGATCAGAAATTCTAATCAAAAGTAAGTGGTTGGAACACGAGCAAGTATTTAAATACTTCTGAAGAGCTGAAAAGGGTGCTTAGAATATGAAAAGATGTGTTTGAGTTGTGAAACAAGTAATTCCCTTGAAGCGGCAACCGAAGTAGGATATGCTAAAAAATAAACATCCTTTTGAAATGGAGCTAACGTCCTGAAAGAGGGTGAGAACTCAGCGTTCATCAGGAAACTGTTAATATATGTATTTAATTTTATGGTATCCAACCCTATTCACAATCTTTTTCAGCATGATGCTCCAAAGGGCCACGGCAGACCGTGATGATCAAGATGATATCTACATTTGGTATCATACTGATGGAAGTCTATTCAATCTAAGGCAACTGAAGGCCCACACTAAGACCTTAAACCATCTTGTCCGGGAGCTGCTTTATGCTGACGCCGCCGCTCTCGTTGCCCACACAGAAGCAGCTCTGCAGCGTTTAACATCCTGCTTTGCTGAGGCTGCTGAGCTTTTTGGGCTGCAAGTCAGTTTAAAGAAAACAGAAGTTCTCTATCAACCAGCACCTCAGGAAGTCCCCCATCATCCCCATATCACCATTGGCCAATCAGAGCTCAAATCAGTCCAGCAGTTTAATTACCTAGGTAGCCTCATCTCCTTGGATGGTAAGATTGGCGGAGAGATAGACAATAGGTTAGCAAAGGCATATAGTGCTTTTGGAAAGCTTCATAAAAGAATTTGGTGAAATAAATACTTGAAGAAAAGCACAAAAATCAGTGTTTACAAAGCCATAGTGCTGTCTACTCTCTTATATGGATCTGAATCATGGGCTGTCTACCACCACCACCTGTGACTCCTAGAGCTCTTCCATCAATGCTGCCTTCGTACAATCCTAAACATCCACTGGTCAAATTATGCGACTAACATGTCTGTTCTAGAAAAGCAACAGTCACAAGTATTGAGGCCATGTTGCTGAGAACACAGCTGCGTTGGGCAGGACACATCTCCAGGATGAAGGACCACCGCCTCCCTAAGATCTTGCTCTATGGTGAACTTGCCACCGGCTGCCACAAGAGAGGAGCCCCAAAGAGGAGATACAAGGACTCCCTGAAACAACATCTCAGCCTTGGCCATATTGATCTTCATCACTGGTCTATTCTGGCCTCAAATCGGGAGGCCTGGAGACACACCATCTATAACGCTGCTGCTTCTTTTGAGAACATACACAGGATCACTCTCGAGGAGAAAAGACAATACAGAAAGAATCGTGTCTTGCGGATACCATGTAAGGAGTCTTTCTGCTGTGCCTTTTTCAACTGGACTTGTCTATCTTGTATTGGCCTCTTTAGCCACCAACATGCTTGTAGCAAATGTGGGTACAGTCCTTCCCAAATCTTTGTTTGCGAAGTCTAGCCATGAAGATGATGATTTTATGGTATCACAAAGCTGTCATAACAGTTGTTGCATACTATCAGTCTAGTTTTGAAGAATTTCATCCAAGCAATGTAAGCAATTCCATAAAAAGTAAAATAAAATAATTGAATGCCAAGGAGGAAAGGGCATGATAACAAAGAAAAAAAATCATCAGTGGTAATTGATGAAAACTGTTTGCTTCCCTAAATGTGAATTAATTGAATTTGCTAGTATCGATAAAGGTCAGCAGTTTCCTGCTGCTTGCTACACCTTTACCTTCTGAAGATGAAAAGCATCTCTTTTTCCTTCTGTGTCACCAGTTCAAATGTTATCTGAAGTGATAATAACTGAACAGTTACCATCTGTACCTACTTCTGCCTTGCAATCAAAGAGTTGATTTTAGGGATGCTAGTGAGAACTGCTGCTGAAATAGAAGGTCCCAATCCCTGACCACAAATGTACCCACCAGTTCACTTGTGCTGGCACTAGAGCTCAAGTAGACATGTGGTGAGCTAGTTCAGGGAACTGATCCAACTGAAAACAGCAAAGAAAAATAAAACAATTAGTTTTCAGCTGAATCTATTTCCTGAGATAATCCTTGAACAGCTGCACATGTGCTACTGCCAAGACTGGCACAAGAGAGAGAACAGGAATACACAGCCAAGACAGGGAGATGACTTACAGTGATCATCAAACTGCAGCCTTAGTCCACTGCCTAGCCTAGACCATGAAACCAAATAGCAGTGCTTTTCACTAGTTCCGTTTCAAAATGGATGAATCTTGGACTAGGTGGAAATTAAGTGGTATCTCTAAAGCTGGGATTTCAAAGATAAATGTTGAACCCTATCAGGCAAAACAATATGAATGAAGCTTGATGTTGATACACAGTTGCCCATATTTTAATTCAGACCGTCTGATCATTCTGCTCCAGGTAAAAAAAAAGGAAAAACAAAAGAAAAAAAAAGTGAAGAAAGTGAAAGCTGTCCTGTTTATACAGAATAGAAAAACTTATGGAGGGACAGATATTAAGAATTCAATGATTTAATGTATCTTGATCTGGTTATAAATTATTAAAATTAAATTCTCAAGATTATTTTGATGATTTAAATAATAAATAAAAAATACAAACCACCAAAACTTTCAAGTTATATTACAGCCTAAAAAGAACTATGTCATCTCCACATCACGTTCAACATGCAGTAAAGCTGAATTGTTTATTTTCCTAGAAATTGTACTACATTATAAGACTTGTAAATAGAATTTTTTGCACAGAAAAAAGAATTAATTTGCCCACAGTACAACAGGAAATGATTTTCAAATTTGTACCACATGTTATCTTTTTATGGTGAACATTCTGCTGCACAAATTTTCCTTTTTGCTTCTTTTTATGTTACAATCTTTATACTTAGAAACACAGGATTTCCACACAGAAAAATGAGAATATTCTTCCACATTTTTTGTGATTGGAATGGTAAATAGCACCCCTAAGATGGTCTTCAAACAAATTTATTTCCATGAATTGTTGAAACTATAATTTCCTTTTGACATCTAATATGATTATTTTTTAGAGCAGTCTTAAGGTCTTTCTGGACAGTGCATCCAATTAAATAATAAGCAATTGCAGTTCGTTATCATAGTATTTGGAATTAACTTTTAACATTTTCTGTCAAGACTTTTAAAGTACAATGGACATGTATTTGGTTTCTGTACCATGTAGTCACATGTTACTTTGAAACCAACATGTGAAAGTCATCTTCAGTGGTTTTTTACGGCATGGTCAGTGTCCATATGAACTTTCAAATGCACAAATCTGCAGTCCCTAAAAATATAAGAGTAACACAAGCTTTTACTCCATCATGCTAATGAAGTGTTGGAGGGTTTTAAGAAAGGATTAGTGACACAACAGACTATAAACAAATACTGTGTCAGTGATCCCTCTGGGAGCTGTTAATCCTTGGATCACTGACACGATCACCTATAGCTGATCTAAACAAACACTCTGTTACTGATGGTTCAGTGCATACTTTATCCATGTATTTTTGAGATAGACAATATTTTGGCATTAAAGAAACAGCTATAATATACTACAATGGATGGTTCTCTATGTCCCTTAAGCCCTAAACTACTGACCTGAGAGGCTGTTACTCTCCACTATACGAATACTTTTATACTCCATGGGTTACTGACAATGTGGTTTGTAAATGATTACTCTCTTCTAGTTAAATCCTTTCATGCTTTTTATAGACTACCATTCACAATTTAAAGAAGTGGTATTGTTGACCGAAGGAAAGTACTGGTCTTGAAACTGTTTCATTAAAGACACCAGGCACTTGCAAATCCTCTTATTCCACACAAAATTAATGCAGTGGACTGAATCTTCTTAGGAGCTTGCACTGTATGGGTCCTGTCAATACTACAGAGGAAATTTTTGAAATAATCTAAGGATTTTTAAACTGATGGAAGACGGATGTTTGTATGTATGAATATAAGTAAGTGCTGTATCATTCACACGCTACTTCAAGTATATGCCCGTGGAATCTGACTGACATGTATCCTTATAAAAAGAGAACAAAATTTTATGAGCAAAGGAGCCACCTCACCAATGTAGTCATTTTACACAGAGTTTTTTAATCATCATTTTAGTACTATATAAACCTGACATCATATCAGAGAAAAGCCTTGGGAAACAGCGAACACGACATTTTAAACAATTTGAATAATAAGAAAATGAGGAAAATTACCTCATACTCCTGTGAGAACTTTAAATTGTCATTTGCTTTCAATCTTTCAATGTGATCTGCAAGTTCCAAGATGGGTATTGGGGGATGATTGGCCATACCTGTTGAACAAGAAAGAGGAACAGAATTTAAAGTACGCTACAGTGATAGCATTGGTCTAAAATTTAGAAAATGTAGTAGTTAGAATGTCTAGAAATGTGTAAGTAGTAAAGATGTCATATGTGAGAGAAGCAGGCAAATAGTTTGGTTACTCAAAGCAGGACATGCTCTGGATAGATGAGCTCTCAAGCCAAATTAAAAGAAGTCACCAAGCATATTCCCAAAGCTAACATTCCTAGTGTAGAGGAAAGAGTTACTGTGGTATGAGTCAATGAGTTTAGCTAGGCATGGTAAAATGAGACAGTTAGACCTGATGTCGACCTCTGCTTTGAGTAATGACTCTTAATGTAATTTCAAACTCCTTCTCCTGCACTGCATGAAATGGAAACTCTATTGAATTAGACGAGAAAATGTGAGCTGAGAAACAGACACTGAAAGAACCCTAAAGGGGAAAGAATAGTGTTTTGACAGAAAACAAAGTGACTTATGCATAATCAAGAAAAACGAGCTTGAATAATGAAGGTTACCAGGGTAACCCGAGACACCTGAACCTGCAAAGGAAATGGTAAAAAACAAAGAAACCTCAAACCAACATAAAACTAACTTATAAAATAAAGTATAAAAAATGAAATGGAGAGCTTGAAGATTAATAATAATGCATCAAGGTCTAGAGGACTGACTATGTATTCTGGCTAAATTAGAAATACTTCAATATTTTAAGAAATTTTGAGGTGACTGACATGCAACTATGAATGAGTAGAATAACATGCACCAGTGCTTTAGACAACAGTCACTGAAGACAACATCGGACGTCAGACAATTAGAACTTCAAAAATGTTTTCACTAGTAGCAGATTGTAGAGACAGGGGTTGTACAGTTTGGCTGGACATACATACTGACTGCACTAATACCTTAAAATAACCTTAAACCCCATTTATCAACCCCTAAGAGTACCTACAATCTACTTCAGGTGTAAACATCTTTGTCCACTGATGAAAATGCTGAATGAAAAAGAAGAAGAAGAGCTAGGAACTGAACACAGAGATGGGTGTGTAAGGGTGTACAGGGACAGCAAGGCAAAAGAAAGACAGAAAAGATGTGGGGTCAACTAGAACAATCTGCCAGCTTAAGATTTGACAGGCAAAAATTTGTGAACATATTCCACTCTATTAGTCTTCATGACCCTTCTCCAAAATGCTTACATTCTTCTCTTCGTGATTTATACTATCACACCTAAAATGAAAGTGAGTTTTCAATGGTTTAGGGAAGAAATCAGAGCTGGCAAGAAAAAGTTAAGCTAGTGAACCCCAGGATCTCTTGAAATTACAAAGGGAAAACACTAATGACTCAAGGGGGCTCAAGCTGGAAGCCATGTTGCATAATGCAGTTTGCTTTGTCACCATGAATTTCAAGAGCATGCCTAAGACAGTTGACTTGCATTTACTTTAAACATAGCTGAAAATGACCATGTGGTTACAACACAGTCACATTAGCATATTTTTCTTTTCTTTAATTTTGTTTTTAATTCTTGTTTTCTTTTTGATTCTTTGGCATTTCAGGCATCATACTAGAGTCCAAAATAATGTCCAACAGCACTGGCCCTAGTTCTTCTGACCCTATACATATATATATTTTATATTATTTTCATAGCATGTCTGCGATGGTAAGACATATTTAAAGTAGATATTAAGGCAAGTTGTCAGTCAACTAACAAAGCTAAATATTCAGATACAATGGGGATATTCCTTATAAATTTAAATAAAAACTTAGTCTCAGTATTAATTTATTTGATGCAGTTCTTCTTGTCTCCCATTTTCTTAGAAATTTCACTTAGGACTTGGCTACTCTCAAAATGAGTGTGGGTGACAGTCATCTAATAATTACACTGATTGATCCAGATCAAGCACCCCTATGGAAAGTATGTGAGTGAAAAGGCACAAGAAAACTCTAGATTGATCCAGAAATGGAGGTGGACTGATGTACATCTAATACAGTGCTTGAACAGAGAAAATAATAGAGACAAAGATGTTTAGACCTTTTCGAGCGAATCGTGGGAGAGAGTTATTATCATATAAGGACTGAGTGGTAGTTTGGCTAGAGAGGGAGGACACAGAGCCAATCAGGGAGGCGTAGGGGACTGAATTACTGCTCAAAGCTGTAAAAAGTAAAAGCCAATCGGAAATGGGAAACAAATTAGTAACAGCAGTAGATCATCATAATCAATCAATCTTGTACATACAGGCACTTCAGACATGCACAAAATAGCGTCTGGAAACTCAACTAAGATACTTGAAGGTGCAGGTGCCCTACTGTAAACATAAAGGACATAAACCCAATGAGTATGAGAGTTGCTCATCACGCAATGAACCTGACTAAATCACCAGCATTAGGAACACAAGTCACAATAATTAGCTTATTGTGAAGGAATATTTTTTTAAGGATGTTGAACATCCATTCTTTTTTTAAACTATTTTTTTAATATGCTTCTCTATATGTCACTTGGCCTTCCCAAGGAGAGATTTCATGTTAAACACTTTGTGCAAAAATGAAATTTGAAATAAAACTTTCTTTTCTAAGGCAAAAAGAGGAACTACTTTCAACTTCAGAAACTGACAAATTTTAACTGCATATCAACCCTTTGTCCATGGCTCACTTTAGGTAACTACACTTGGACATTGAATAACTCTCCTCAAATAATATTTTGCATTTAAATTATGAAGTAATTGCATTTGGTATATTTTCATATTTTAAATACGTAAAATGAGATGATAAAAAAGTAGCTGTTTTTTAAAACAACCACTGGAGGACTTCTGTTATGTAATTGGTCTGTGAACCATAACAATATGCTATGAACGAACATTTTAAGATCTCGTCATATTTTGTGCAAAAGCATGAGGCTCCTATTGAGTTTAATGTGAACATTAAGCTCACATGTTGTAGAAGATGTAGAAGTTGACTCAAAAGATCCCACTCAAAATACAGCTAAACTCATTTTCTGTGGCTACAAATAAGAAAACACACTTATTTGATGACACACTTCCACATCAATCAACACATGTTATGACAACACAAAAACTTAAAGACAAAATACAGCTAAATTACAACAGATCCTGTGACATGCTAAAAAGTCAAAAGTAATATCATGCTGTAGACATGCTTTCAAATTTTCTTTTAAATAGGATATCTCTTTTTAAAAAAAGAGATAGAAACACCTGAAAACTCAAACAAAAAGAAAGCCCCCAAAACCACCACATGCAAACACAGCTGCAACTGTATCCCTTAGAAGTTTCTACTTCCAAATTTGGTAGAAGACAGGTAAATGTGATTGATCTTATGCAGCTTAGTAGAAAACCCTTCATTTATATGAAATAAGAATATATGGTTTGATTTCAGTGTAGAATTAGCTTCTGGTTAATCTGTGGTAAAGACATGACCAAGGAACATGAAATACCCTTTGTGCCACAATTAAAGGAAAAACTAAGAGAGCAAGGTCAGAACTCATCTGCATTTCAACAGACATTAAAGCTGTTAATTATATTCCTTTATCCCACTGAAACAAGAGGGTGTTTTGGGCTTGTCATTAGTGCGTTAAATTAGGATTTTGTTTGTTGTCAGGGTTTTATGATAAGGGCTTTTAGAAACATTTACAAAACACATTTATTTACCAACTGCTGGTTGATATACCCACAATAAACAAGAATAAAGTTACAAATAAAAGAAAGAACATATCTGCTCGTATATGGAGTACAAAAATGTGACACATTATTGTCACAGAAATTTCTTTAGGAATTCATGGTATTTTAGGTCCACATTGAGTTAATAGTCTGTGATTTTAAAAACTGATTTATTACATCCTCATTTTTATTTAGCAACACAGAACACCCTTCCACATACCAATCTGTGGTGATTAAGATACTGTTCCTTTACAGAAAAATGAAGGAATCAGTAATAGTGGTTATTGCTACTGATAGTTATCCTTATCGAAAACGCAGAAATAAATACCTACCTAAAATTCAGACATGGAAAATAGAAAAAATGACAGATGACCCTGATCTAGTAGAAATTCAGCATCCATGAAAATTTATCAAGAATGCCCTTAGTATTTATGACAAAAAAAATTACTGTTACTTCAAAATTTCTTTTTCATAAAGTCAGAGCTAGGCCAGTGCTTGAACTTAAAAAAATAAATATACAAGAAAAACTCTAGACAAATACATCATAATGCAACAACTATTCTAAAATAGTTTCCAATGCACATATGTCACTGTCATTCCAGAAGATTTTATGTTCTTCAAAACTTGATCAATTGTTCTGCAATGAAAATAGTTTCTGTTCTTCTCTATCAAAGACTAAGCTCTAACAAGTAGCCTTAGAATCTGCTTAGCCCACAGTAGAAACACCAGCTCTGAGTGAGGTATAAAAGTCACCTACAGTGAAAAAACGGGAAACCTAGTTTTCAGATCCTGATCTAAAAATGTTAAATTCAACAACATGTTGCAAAACTATGGGCTAAAATCCAGGAAAGAAAAAAGGATTACTCTTGAGAGGAGAATTTTCAACTTCATCTCCTAGCTAGACAGATTTTGGTTGCCTCTAGATTTGAAAGTAATGAAGTGGGATATCACAGAAATGTCATTTCCACACGAACCCTATGCTTCTTTAAGGTGCCTAAATCCTCTATCTGGACAAGTTCATATGATGAGCTCTGTGTACAATTGCTCACTATAAGAAAGAATTTCCAGTCTGGTTTTGCCATGAAGACAAAGGAACTATTTCCTGCAGCATTGTCATAATTCTCACAGATATCATGTGGGCAAACTATGGGAAGAAATTTCCTGCTATCTTGCAAAGCAGGAACTTTTTCTACCTTTTGTTATTTTTCCCCCCTTTACTCTGGGCATGTTTTACACTTTTTCTGCTTTATCTTGGAAATAAGTTTGTGGAACTTCCTTAGCAACTCAGGGAATAAGTGTTTAGTGAGCACTTATCTAATAAAAAAAAAAGCAGTCTTTAACTTAGAGCTGTAATAATTCTATTTATTTTTCTTGTGTTTCAAAGCTTCTTATTAGTTCATAAGATATAATGAGATAATTGCTTAATTGGCACCCAATTACACAAATTACTTATAAGTGTGACACATTTTATAGTTAAATGAGGATAAAAAACCCCAGTCACTTTTGAAGCATGACTCAGTTTAGTTCTCTGGCTGATTGGCAGATTGAAGTCTTTCCCTGAGCCTTGGGTCTCTCAGAACCCACTCAAACCACTTAATTTCAGTTAATTTTCCTCTGCAGAACTGGGCTTCTTTATTTGATGAGATCTTTTGTGAGGGTTTAATTACTACCCTTTGCTTACCTTTACTCTCCCATGTGGCATAGAGACTTCTAAAATTTGTGCACAGGTTAATCATTTTAATAGGAAACTTGTAGAATGGTAAAAATGTGATGGAATTTTCCTCAGCTACTCCAGTTATGGAAGAATAACAGACTTAAAAAGGAAATCCTATTGAGAGATTGTGTATTTTCGTGTTTACTCAAAGAGAACTTGGCACAGCTGTGAGCCACTCACTGGCATATGGGCTTATCTAACATATATACATTTTTGGATAACATGGGATAACATGGGATCTTGCTCTTAGATATAGAACTGTGGGCTATTCCAAATGTTACTCGACCCAGAGAGGAGGGAAGCCAGACACCAATTTGATCCTTCCTGGACAAGGTAAGGTAGGAAACTCTTTAGGTAAATACTAGATTAGTGAAGGATGTAGTTCTGTACTGACAGGACAATAAAAAGTGAAAGGAGAGCAAGGAAAGCTGTGCTGGTAGTTTTTACTGTGCAATTTTACAACATCATCATGCTGAATTGACAATGTTACGAAAAGTATAATACAATTATGCCTAAAACATTCTCTAAATATCATCGAAGATAAAATATTGCTTTCCCATACTTTTTCAAAAATTTATATCTAATCACCTGTACTGGGAGTAATTTATACGTGTGGTTAGAAGTTCAATTTTAGCCCAGCAGTTTCACTTTCAAATTATTTTGATAGCTATATCTGATCAGACCTTTCCTTACAGAAAATACATGATTTACAGTATTTTTGGAAAGAGGTTGTTTAGAAATCTTTCAAAGTACTAAAGTTTATGACAATCCAGAATTTTATAGAAGTATCTCATTCACCTCTCTCCATGAAAACTGGCAGTTTAGATATGCCAATGTAATTTAAAATTTTCTTTAAAACTGCTGTACTTTATGGGTTCATTATAAACTTTTTTTCCCCTCCCACTGGAAGCAACTGGTCTGACTGGAAAGCTCCAAGCAAACTGCAGGTGCTTTCGTAATCCAAAGAAATAAATCACTATAATAATGTGATAATGTCAAATCATCTATCCTGATGCTTTTTTACTGACTTGGCATACACTGTTTTTTAAAGTACATTCACTACTCTGTCATTTATTTTATCTATAGGCAACATTGAGAAATGGTAACATCTTATACAATAGATAAGGCCATTGTATGAGGGTGACTGGAGATGTCTCGGTAAAAGGAACCCCACACATAACCACATCAGACCCCAATCTCTTCTCTCCATTGCCTACTTTGAAGTATCCCACTACCTGTTTCTGTTACATAATAGAAAAAAAAAACCCACACACTTGAAAGCGAAAAAACAACAAAAATAACAAAACTGATATCCTGAACATGCAGGTTTTCTGTAGTATCCCTATGTTCACCTTAAAAATTTTTTTATTGCATGTTATTTGATGGTGTTTATGCATGTTATTTGATGGTGTATTGTGTATTGCTGGTTAAAGTTGGATAAACATTCCAGTAGGATCTAAATATCTCAGTTAAATTTAGCCACGTTTTAATTAAATGGTAGCCTTAATTGAAGTCAATGTACGTTATGTTCTGCTTTTACTAGCACAAGAACTGTACCTCGACTTCACTGTGACTAAGTTTGCATATTAAAAACATGTTAATTAGGAAGTGTTACAGAGCAAAACAAATCTACTGGGGTAAGAAATTTCTCCTTGATATTTGGTTGTGTACTGAGTAATATAATGGCCTGACCTGTGCCTGGGGGTCTTAGGTGAAACAACAGTAGGTAAAAAGATGATAATTAGATGTCTGTTCTGTATTTTTAATAATAATTGTAATTCTCCATTCCGTGAAAAGGTTTACAGCAAAAAATAAGTGTTTAGAGTAGAAATGTATCGCAAATGTTCTGCTCAACTAGCCTCACAGAAAACTGCAAACTTCCCAGATAAACTATAGCCCTGCAAGGAAAAGTATACTTTCAATCCTCTCCAGTTCTTTTCAGATCAGTGAGGTGGAATTACAGTGTCTATGAGTGCCACAAATTCTGCCATTTCTTAATAACTTTACATCCTAAATGTAAATTTAGAATTAATTACAATAAATTATTTTATATATAAAATTGTTAGCACTTGGCAGCAGGTTTTTTTTTGCCCACATTTTAGTTTTATTACGATGAATATTAAAGGAATAGGTAAGACTAAACATGTAAATAAACAGAGTGCAGAAAATTATGCTTATATACCTAGTTTATTATTCCGTTCTTTATTGGATGCGGAGGGAAACATAGTGACAAAGGATGAAGAAAAGGCTGAGGTAATTAATGCTTTCTTTGCCTCAGTCTTTACTAACACCACCAATTATTCTGGGGGTACACAGCCCCCTGAGCTGGGAGACAGGGATGGTGAGCAGAATGAAGCCCCCATTGTCTAGGAGAAATTGGTCAGCAACCTGCAACACCACTTAGACATACACAACTGTGGGGGATTGGATGGGATACACTCAAGGGTACCAAGGGATTTGACCGAAGTACTCACTGACTGAAGTACTCACTACTTTCTTCATGTAGCAGCAGTCCTGCCTAACTGGGGATGTTCCAGATTACTGGAGGTTTCCAAATGGGATGTCCATCTACAAGAAGGGTGGGAAGGAGGATTTGGGGAACTACAGGCCTGTCAGTCTGACCTTGGTACTGGGGAAGGTCAACAAGCAGATCAACCTGACATCCTAGCCTTTATCAGCAGTAGTGTGGTCAGCAGGACCAGGGCAGTGATTGTCCCTCTGTACTTAGCACTGGTGAGGCCACACCTCGAGTACTCTGTCCAGTTTAGAGTCACCTCACTACAAGAAAGACATTGAAGTGCTGGAGTGTGTCTAGAAAAGGGTGACAAAGCTGGTGAAGGGTCTGGACCACAAGTCTTATGAGAAACATCTGAGGGAGCTGGGGTTATTTAGCCTGGAGAAAAGGAGGCTGAGGTGAGACCTTATAGCTCTCTACAACTGCCTGAGTAGAGGTTATAACAAGTTGGGGGTCAGTCTCTTCTCCCAGGTAACAAGTGATAGGGGAAGAGGAAATGGCCTCAAGTTTTGCTGGGTAGGTAGACTGAATATTAGGAAACACTTCTTCACTGAAAGGGTGGTCAGGTGTTGGAACAGGCTGCCCAGGAAAGTGGTGAATTGACTGGCCCTGGAATGTGGATGTGGCACTTCAGGTCATGGTTTTTTGTTGAACATAGAGGTGCTTGGTTAATGGTTGGACTCCTTGATCTTATAGATCTTTTCCAAACACAATGATTTTGTGATTCTATTAAGCCATCCACTCTACTCAGTATATAACTGTATACAAATAATGACTTGTTTTAGGCATAAGCTAGACTTTAAGAACCATATTTTTTCTTCTCATGTTTCAAAAATTTGTATGTATACTTCTATTGCTGTAAAAATCTTTAAAATTTTCATGAAACTCCTGAATAACAGACGAAAACTTTGCTCAGGAACGATGAGCCTACATTCAGATTGCAGTCTCAGAAGGACAATTGTGAATAAAAACTTTCAATCATTTCCACTTACTGCACTTAAGTTCATATTATAAAGAGGTCCCAGAGCATGTCAACAAGATTCCCATATTGAGATGAAACTGAATTAGAAGATGTGCTCCTGAAACACACCTAATTTGCACCAGCTGCTAAGAGCATTCAGTGTACTGGAACAGATTAAAAAAAAACAAGGCTGGAGTAAAACTCAAGACTCTTCCCTTTCTACCACTGCCATGTACATGCATGGGTCTTTAGCCACATTCATTACTCTGCAGACCCACTCCTGCTGGGGCAACATTATCTTAATATAATCACTGTTTAGAAGACTAGAAATGAGATCTGCAAGTTCACTTAACCCTTTAGTATGTCAAGTTCTGAGGCTAATCTCTCAGCATCTCAAACCCTTCAATTCCTGCTTTTATGAGCTTTTATTTTTTTGTTATTAATGTAAGAAGTTTGACAAACACAAGGCTCATGAAGATTCTGCACACAACTAGCATTAGACTGGGACTATGTGCAAACACCCTGTAATAGACAACACGTTCACTGGAATACAACATGATCAAAAGCCAATTTAAGTAAAAGTTGACTCCTAAAATGTGGTAAAAATTCAATACTAATATTTATCTCCCAGTGTCTCTTGACTATCAGATAAACAGCTTTAAGAAAACAGTGTTTCATTTAAAAAAATCATTTAATAAAATATTTGAGAATGTGTTGCTTCTAACCTCAGAACTACTGACATTCATATACTCCCTTAACCACAAAATATGGCCTTATTTTCAAAGACAAGACCATTTATCTAGTTAGTATTTTCTTTTCTGTGTTGCACATTTGCAATTCAGTGAAACTGACAATTACGTTAATAGATCACCCAATTATGCAGTAGATAAGAAAGAAGCTTATTAACAAGAGGTTGCTGTAAGAATATTGTTAATAAATAGAGGGATATACATGTCCCAACAACATTTTCTAGCATTGTTAGGTTTAACTTGGAATTTTAGTACATAAAACACATCCATATAGCATATGTGTCTTTGGGCTCTTCTTTACATAAATTCAAGTTTGTTTCAAGCAGGATTTTTCTTTAAATAAAGAAATTAAAGAATTATTTCAAAATCTAACAAAGAAACATACTGTGCAAAACCTCATAAGCGATCAAAATATATTTTTATAAACAACCAATCTTTCTTTTCTGTAGCAGCACCAGTAATCAGCTTATGATCACAGAGCTCTCCGTAAGTTATTGTCTCTTACCCGGAGTTTGAAAGTTAAGGCGTCGCAGCTCCACTGGATCTGTGGGATGGTGAGAAGGGACCTCCTTGCTGTTGGGTATGCTGCTCTTTCTAGAATCAGATTCAGCCCTCTTCCTGCATGGAGAAGGTGAATACACATAAACAGAAGATAGACATGTTAGCTTGACAAAGGTACCTGAGCATTTAATCATCATATTCTGAAGGCAAGATGTTTATTTCTGAAAGGCTATTTGATCCAGTGCAAAGGTAAAATAATTATGCATGGCTAGTAGGACATCTACAATTTGCGATGGCAAAATGAATCTAAATATATTAATGTCAGAGAGAAAATAACTGCATTTTGCCTTGGACTGATCCTCCAGTATATCCTTCTGGTCACTGGATACTCTACTTTTATAACACTAAACTTATGAAAATTCACAGTATTTTAAAAGCTATCTAGCTTTTTAAAAAAGTAGCCAACTTTTGAACATGTAACTAGAAATTAATACTCCAAGTTATTATCATTAAATATTTCATATTTTATACACATTTATAAAAAATAGTTTGCATTTTTAAGTATAGAGAAAGAACAGTACAGAAGACACCTATCCCAGAAGACACCTTTTCTTTTCACTTTCTAGGAATCAAGAATTTGCTCTGTTTCCTCTCATCTCTGTAAGAGCTGAACTACACAATCTTCATTTGTCTTACCTCACTTACATATATTCACAGCTCAGATTCTGTATGAGTATTTCCAATTAAACTAAGACTTCCACTGCAATTATAGTGCTCATGTCAATCTGTCCAAAGCAAGATGGGAAAGATAGGAGGAAGGAGGAAAGGAGGGAGGGACAGAGGAAAGGAGGGAGGGAAGGAGGGAAGGAAGGAAGGAAGGAGGGATGAGGGAGGGAGGGAAGGAAGGAAGTTTGTGTATGATTTCCTTTCTCTAGAGAGAAGCAGAGTCCACATGTGCTCTGACTGACTTTTCTGGTAAAATGGACTCCCATTATTTGTCTATAATTTTCTGATGTGGAGACATCGAGAACTATCTTAAATGAAGAACATCTACCACTCTGCATTTTTATACAGAGAGTGGAATCCTTCTTCACTAGTCCTCTGTGGACTCCTGAATGAAAACGAAACCTGGCTGACACTCTATGTAACATAAAATGAAGAAGCAAATAGAGGAAGAGTTACTTTGTGAAAAGTAATCTTTTCCGGGTACCCAATGTTTATTTTAACATAACACTATTTATAGTTTTCCTAATTGACTCACAATGGTACTAAATCTGCTATTATTCCTGTTGATTTCTTGCTGTTCTTGAAATCATGAACACCTGGTAATATACAACAAGATTTCAAAGGCTGTGCAAACAAGTCAAACAGTAACATCACTGCAGGTATTCTTTGAAAGTCACTAGTCCTATTGTTTTATAGAAAAAAGTAAAAAGTTTTTTACTGTAAAAGTACTGGTCTCTGGTAAATACCTTAACACATGTATTAATCTCTCTTAAGTGAAGCGATAAAAATTTACATACTATTCTTCTTTTTTAGTCTTTTTAAAAACAAAATATTATGGATAAACTCATTTGAAATTTCTTTCTTTTGATTTTGACTATCCCCAACTCCTACCACTGTAGCACAATGCCTGAGTGCTATTTCTTCTTCAGTAAAGATGTGCAATGTAACTTTCAGGAAGTCTTTTAATCTGTTATTTCCTTCTTCCTAAGTCTAGGAGTTTTAAGTCTCTTTAAGTCCTTGACACTGTCCAGAGACAAGCTTCATTTACCTTTTTTCCACTTACAAGTCAGTACTGGACAACAAAATTTCGCATTACTCTAATAAAAGCACTAAAATCTCTTCTAATCATGTATCTGAATATTTTGAATGCTTATAGGATAATAGAACAGTTTATTATTTGTATTATTCTCAGGATCATTCTGGATGTTGGGGTTTTTTTATGTTGCCAGCCTATACAAGTCATCATAATTCTTCCAGATTATGCAATGATTTTGAGTTAGATGGGAAAAAAAAATCCAGAGAGGACAAGAGATCACTATATCATTTTCACTTGTAGAACTGTAAGTCAGCATTGAGTCTATGTGGATGGAGCATTATGGAGATTCAGAGCAGCTAACACTTCAACCACAACAATGCATTCCTTAAAGAACTTTGGTTATAGCAAAAAAAACACTGATTCACCTTCACTAAAATGCAAATAAAACCATATAAACATTGTATAGCTGTGCTATCTCTTGGAAATGTACCCCACGTAGACACAAGAAGAAGAGCAGTGAAACTTCGCTGCTTGTATTACATTACTTTTCAGTGCTGTAAATAACATAGCAAGTCTTACAGTTGCCTTCATTGTGACAGATTACTGTCTACATTCACTTAAGATTGACAGATACTTTGTTTTAGATCATTATCATGATAACTTTCTTTTTTTTCTCCTTTTCTATATTAAATGAAGAGTGATTACTTTTTGCTTCTCACCTGTCAGGTTTACTGCTCCATTTTAATGCAGCAAAGAGGGGAGAAATGGTGAAATGTTAGTTGACCAGCAGCGCAGAGGATAAGAATGGAAACAGAAGATATAAGAAATGTTGACTTAAAGATATATAACTAAACAAAATTAAGAAAGGACAGCTCATCAAAATATTTAATGCTTGGGAATCGTAAAATTAATGGAGGGCATAAGGTCATGTCCAAAGCGAATCATCTGCTGAAAAATACACCTTTCTTAGACACTATTTGCAAAGAAATGAGACTTCAAATTTTAGCCAGTGAGATAATAGAGAATGGGTCTTTAATTTGACCCATCAAAATAATGTTAACATTACATTGAAAAATTACATGTCACTAAGATGTAGTTTCCTCTTACATTTTAGAGAGAAGAGAGAAAAGAGGAGAGAGGAGAGAGGAAAGGAAAAATAAAAGTGGAGGGCAGAGTAGAATGGGAAGGAGAGAAAGGGAGAAGAAAAGGGAGAGAAACAAGTGAAGAACAAGGTTAAATACATGAAATACATAAGAATTGTACTAAATTTTAAAAAGAATAAAACGAAATGAAGACTTTTAAAATTATTTTACAAAGCCAGGTAATAATATAACAAGAAATTTTTAACAGTACCCTGTAAAGTAAGGTAAGCATAAAATTTTTTCTAGTGAAGTATTACACACCTTTTTAGATTTAGAAAGAATGTCACCTACTAGAGGTCTACACCAATCTGCATAGATCTGTAGGGATCTATGATCTAGGTCAGGTAAACAGGGAAAATATCTCCCACCAAAATGTGCTACTATACACACTCACTGTTAATACAACACTGTGTGTTGATCATAATAAACAGAGGCTCTACAAACTTTTAATAGTATGCAATGACCAGACTACACACGTTATGAAAAAGTCTTTAGAATTCTTCATCATCACTTAAGATTCCCCCATTTTCATTTCTGTGGTTTTTTTAACGTCTGGGTTTGTTTTTTTTTTCCCGTCAGAAGCATATTTAGCTTCTAAGTCAAAAAGCTCAAGATTCAGCAGGTGACCAGCAGGTCAAGGGATATGATTCTGCCCCTCTACTCAACATTGGTGAATCACCACCTGGAGCGCTGCATCCAGCTTTGAGTTCATCAGTACCAGAAAGGCATGTACCTGTTGGAGTGTGTCCAGAGAAGGGCCATAAAACTGATCAGAGGGATGGAACACTTCTCTATGAGGAAAGGCTGAGAAAATTGGGATTGTTCAGCCTGCAGAAGAGAAGGTTTTGGGGGGACCTTACTGCAGCCTCCTAGTACTTAAAGGGTGCTCATAAGGAAGATGGGGACAGCCTATGTAGGAGTAATGACAGGACAAGGGGTAATGGTTTTAAACTGAAAGAGGGTAGATTCAGATTAGCTAATAGGAAGAAATTTTTTATGATAGGGGTGGTGAAATACTGGCAGAGGTTGCCTAGAGAGGTGGCATATACGTAATCTCAGGATACGTTCAAGGCCTGGCTGGACAGGGCTCTGAGCAACCTGACCTAGTTGAAGATGAAGGCAGTTGGACTAGATGGCCCTTAAAGGTCCCTTCCAACCCTACCTATTCTATGATTCGATGACGCTATGATTCAGAGCGGCAGAGTTCACTGTGTTCAAAAGATTCAAGCTTAGGTTCCAGTCTTCTGAACCAAATCAGAAAGCTGCACTTTATAAAAGCAAACAACACGAAGTCTGTCAAGATGGCTTTAACTTCTCTCCCTCACAAATGAAAAGATCTAGAATAAGGAACATTTTTCTCTCCATCAGTGGACGACTGAAATTAGAGAATTTGTAATTTCTTAAAAACAAAAATTCACATGTTAAAGAAATAAATTCCCAAACCCAGAAACCAGATGACAGGATTCTTCATGGGGACAGGCACTCTTCTTTCTAATTTGTCCATTTTTGAGATACACTGAACAATTTCTAGAGCTCTTTAACATTCACTGACTGGGTTCCTAATCACCTAAATCTTATGTAATTGAATATGTACCACACATTTAAAAGTGAGTTAAAATGATTCACTGTAGATTTACCTAAACTGTAGGTTGCAGCAAGGTAATGATTTATCAACATCAACTTGAAATATAAACTGAGACTCAAAGAACCATCATAATGGTTAGGCGTTTCTTCTAGGGTATGCACTCGCTCTCTAGTTAAGCAGGTATTTGCCTTTGTTTGAGATTCTGGTTATAAACCTTACTATGATGTATAATGTACTTCAAGTTGGAATGAGCAAAGGAAAATAACTGAAAAGGTAATGAGATTTAGTTAATTTACTTGGATGTCTAAATTTTATTATTTATATTTAAGTCAAATAGATTGAAATATCTGCTCCAAAATAAGTGCCTCCTTTCCCTATGACTGCATGGTGGTTTCCTGGTTTCACTGCTGCGAGGACAGAGAACACTGAACTGGTTACTGGCCAAGTCAATTCCATTTGCCAAGACATATTCAACTGTAACTCAGGAAAAAATAATTTTTACTGTGAAGATACTGGAACACAGAACAGGTTGCCCAGAAAAGTTGTTGAGTTTCCATTCTTAGATACATTAAATCTTGCTGGGACATCCCTCTGAACAAGTTGCTGTAGCTGGCCATACTCTGAGCAGGGCTGGGATGAGGCAAATTCCAGAGATGTGACCCTTCGGTTCTGTGAAACTGTGAGATCTTCTGCACACAGCACATTAATTGGCCTCTGTTGTTGTTGGCTATTATATTACTACTATATGTGATCATAAGAAAAGGTACTCTTCAGTGTATTACTGTTACTTACTGAGCTGCAAGGACCTTTTGGCTATATTCTAATATATGATCCAAAAAACTTTCTATAAAGTATCTTTGCTTTCAGATTTTAAGACTTAACGGAGAGGCAATAACCCTGACACAACTTACCAATAAATAATGAGGTCAAACATGCACTCCTTGTCTTTGGGATTGTTAAATATGCTTCAAACCAACTAACACAACTCATTCACACTACCTCTGATAGTGTCTGTTTTGAAGAGGGGCAAGACTTCTCCACCTAAAGTAATTCTTTTAGAAATGGAAGTAATTCTTTCTCTATGATTGAAATTAAAATATAAAAGTCGTATTATAAATCATGAGCTTAGTGGTCCAAGTCTGTTCATAAAGGCTTCTATGGACAAAGTGAATTAAGCATAGTTGACCTTTATTTGAATTACTACCATCTGCACTTCAAAAGACATGGTCATTTCTTAGCTGTCCTCTTTGCACTGCACATCCTTCAACAACATCCTATTTTTAATATTTTTTGCATGTATGTTCATGTATTGTTAGACTGATGCCCTCTATCCTTTGTTTTTCCTCGTTACCATACTTGTTGCACTTACACTCCACTGATTTCAACAAATATATTGTAAAATTCCCTGTATCCATGAAAATGTTTGGTTTTCCTGGGCTTTTTTTTTGCTTATTTTTTTCATCCAACTCCTGTAGCCATAGTAAAATCCATTTTACTCAGAAATTAAATTTCACTGCTTTCTCAAAATAGGACGCTAAATATCCCTATTTTCTTGTCTAGTTGGTGCTCTTCTACAGTCACTCAGTCTATCAAAATCTAGCAGTTAGCTTACATCCAGGTTGAATACTCTTGAAAAAAATATCCAATTATATATTTCTTTTTTACAGAAATGAAAAATTCATAGAGGACCAGAGGCTGCTAAAACTGCAGTCAAAATTTCTCAGAGGTAATTTGCCAATTCAGTGCAGTTTAATAAATTAGAGTAAATAGCTGAAAATAGAAAAATAAATACATATGGACATTTGCCTGAAAAGTTCTAGTACAAATAGTAAATAACAGATGGAAAGTATGTCCCCCATTTTCAGTAAATGACAATATCTTCACAATACTGACAAGCAAATTTTACCTGTTTGTATGTAGAATATGCCTAATATCTTTTATTTGGTAACAGATTTAAGATTTTTAGTTTGATTCCATAAATGTAAATAGTATTTTCAGAAACAGGTGCACATCTGCTTTATACGCCATTGTTTGGACTTTTTTTTGTAGTATGAGAGAAGATTTACTCTTAATAATTCAAAATAATCAGGAGAAAGGAATATTTCACTTTTAGCACAACTCTAACGACTGGTTTTTGAAGCGACAGACAGACACAAACAGAGGTTCACTGGTTGCTAACCAATTAGATTGGCTGAAACACTATGCACTAACAGAACCTTTCAGGAGACATAGTATTTGAAAGCAACAGACCATGTGTTATGCTGCTGTACAATTACAGCCCTGAAAACATTCTATAAATACATCTATATATAGACATAAGCTCAAGTCAACTCTGGACTGGGTATTTACTGCTGAACAGAGAATTCTTTCCAAAACCTGAAGCCAGTTCCATACATGCAATTTTAGAGGTATTTGACCAAAGACACTTAGGGTGGGAAGACCATAGAGGCAAGCAGAATTTAAATATTTATATTCAAGTGATAGCATTATAGCTGTTAATTTTAGAGGACATACTCCATTTAATGAAATTATTCCTAGTGCACCACCTCTCCAGAGGTTTATAGCATTTTTATATTAATTTGCAATTATATCAATATATTTAAAAATGTATTAGGAACATAATCTAAACATTAAAATAAACTTTTTTGTTTGGATTCTTTTGTTTTGATTGACCCCTGTGAATTCATTTACAGTGTAAAAAGCTACTACATATAAATTATGGCATCGTACACAGTTTACACTGAGTATATTGTAAGGTAGAAGGTATAATAGCAAAACTACAGCTGTGTCACAGACAGTGAAAGAAGAATAAGTGAAATTTGATCTCATTGCAAGATTAGTAGAAAAACGTTATTTGATGTCTCTTTAATCTCTCAGTTCAGAGCTTCAAATTCATATAGATACAATGACAAATTGAGACCAACTGTCAAAAGTAAAAACTCAAATTACTTGAGTGGAGATGAGAATCACATTTAACATCAAGTTGAATGTAACCCCTAATGTATTACTATTACACATCTAAAAACAAGTTTTGAAAAGTCAAATATGCCAATTCCATACATATTTATATGCAGCACATATTTATTTTCTTTGCATATAAATGTATGCAAAGTGGAAAAAACACTTAAATGCAGAAGTGTTAATATGTCATCAACAGAAAAATGTACCTGCATACCTGTAATTATCAGAAACTTTCAATCAAAAATTTCTGCAGTATTCCGGAAATCATTAATAAATACTGAAATATCCCAAAGCAATGACAGTTACTATGGTAGCACAAAAATATAATTTGGAACAGTATTACAAAATGATCAACATGTCAGGAAGTTATATACCTAGTAAGAAAACTAGAAGGTAAATTTACCTTTTATAAAGAAGTATAGCAATAACAATGCAGATGATAAACACCACTGCAAGAACTGGTCCAACAACCCAAATCAAGCCTTCTTCCTCATCTGTAATTGGTTGGGGATCAAGATCCATTGACACAACAGGATCAGAATATGGGCTGGTTGCATACATGGTCTATAGAAATAAAAATAATTCTTACTTAATCACGAAGGAGTGCATTTAAAGTATTAACTATGCTAGATCTAAAATAAATGTATAGAAGACGACGATGCAGTGAACATAACAAAGTGAAAATGCTCTTTTTCTTGAAGTCAGGCAGCATATAAACTTGCAAACTAAACAGTGTGTTATTTTGTGTTCCACATATTAGCAGTGATGTGTAGACAAATGATGTCCTTCCACAACACTTTGCAATGTTTACTTTGCAACGTAAACAGAGAATGAGAAAAGCACTAGGAGAAATACAACCCATTGGTTACTTATTTTTGGTTTTTGTTTTTTTAGTTTCACACTGGATTAACACTATTTCTTCCTGCATGATATGAAAGAGTACTTCCAACAGAACAAAACTACTATAAGTAAAAATAAAGGGGACTGAATATAGAAGGTTCTTAGAAAAGGTTCTTGTGGCAATAGTACAATACGTTTTGACAGTCAAAAACTGTCTGATAGAGTATTCTTATTGAAGGTTGAAACAATTTAAATTTAAGAATGGAAAACAGGGGAAGTCACTATAGAGTATGAAGGGAAACCAAACACTCAGTCTTTCATAGGTATAAAACTTGAATTATGAACCAACAGAGGCTGTTGAAAATCTTTGCTTTACTGGATGGTGTAAAGCAACTGGCTTAGGATAAGACCTGTGATAACAGAATATTTCTTCACTCTGCTCTGCCCTGAGATGTTTGTAATTTTAACTCTGCACTCAGTCATAGATCAAACAGGAGAGGCTGAGTAGCCAGCCTGCTAAAACTGGATCATTTAAACAACTCTGAGTTACAGTAAAGACAGAAGTGGAGAATAGTTTGTACAATTTTGTCTTTGTTGGAGTGTCTCCATCAGCACTAAACTAGGATTTGAACTACAGCTTTTGCAAAGGACTTAAAAGCTTGATTCAGCAGTAGATCAGAAATGTCAGTTAAAACAGAATAAGATAACTGGGAGAAGAGATTAGCTTCCATTTACATGTTTGCACTGTGTTCTGAAAGATGCCCTAAGCCAGGACAAGTGTTATCAAAGGAGACATGTTTTTTTACACTTCATTTGGCCTTGTTTTGGGCTCTGGGCTATGACAGTATCTGGGTTTGACACAGGATTAGGACTGGCAAAGCTGAGGCACTTACACTAGCTGGTAAGGAGCTAGCACCCATGTCAACAATCTCCAGTTATGTTACAGTCTCACTAAACCTGGTACCTGGCACCAAAAAAACCCAGTGTTTTAAGCCCGTTGTCATTGTTTGGAAAATGGGGACTCTTCATGTTCCATTCCTGAAACACCCAAACTGACTGCCATTTTTTTCCCAGCTTCAGTATTTTCAAAAGACAGAACAAATCTCACTGCTACAGGAAGAAACTCTCTTTATTTAGCCTCTTTCTTTGGATCAGGTAGTAAAAATGCCTGGAAAAAGATACAGAGGGATATTGAGGGTAACAGTATAAGCGCTAACGATTTTTTCTCCAATAAGCAAGATTTCACTTTAAATTTTTATCCTACCTGTATTAATAACTAATTAAAACTCGTTTATTATTTTGCCAAATTTATCTTATTTTTTCCTCCCTCTTAACAACATGCTTAACATACTTAATTATAAGCTCTTTCAGCTTCCATTTTACCAAGTTAAATAAATTCAGATCTTCCCATGTTCTCTTTTAATTCAAATAGTCCATTCTACCAATCAACAGGGAAATTTTGTGTTCTCTGGAGGGGAAGTCAATGTATGGTGTAACATTTGAAAATCCCTTTTAAGTTGCAACTCATACACCAGTGGGATCTACAGTCCTAGAAGAAAATCAAATATATTGAGAGTGGATAAACTGGAGCATTGAAAGTTGAATTTCACTCACCATTAAAAACTATTTACACTCTGTGGGTACCTTACGCTAGTCAATCACATAAACATTTCAGATGGCATGTTAAACCAGTTATTAACCATACTGTAAGTTTAGTAATGCCTTCTGAAATCTTCAAGAGTAGGACCTTAGATAGATTTTGCCATATGAGCCTTTTCACCTGAAAAATCTACTTTTTCCTGATTTATTATCCTCATTTCTTGCTAACAAAATAATAAATTTGGGTCATTTATACGAAATTACTAATGCTTTAATTAACATAAAAAACCCGAGAAACCATACTTTGTGCTGAAAAGATCAATTTTACTATAGGTAATTTCTGATTACCTCATTCTGGCTACCTAACTTTATGGTCAAAAGCTGTCTATCTTCTCCAGTTTGAACCTTTTGGATGCACCACCTTCAGAATTATCTGTCTATGCAGCCCCTGTCAAAAAGCGAAAGTGGAACTTTTGATTTATGTTAGAGCTTCCAGGAGGCATCTACTTTATTTTCAAATGAAGCTATTTATCCAAAAGTATTCGAAGTGGAACAACTTCCTCATTGTGTTTAGGTAGGCAAATTCCATTGATAGCAAGAAAGCAATTATGATGCTACACACTAGAAGCTTTGACTAGAATTCAGAATATTGGTGTTGTAGTTTCAAGTGGTTGAACCCGCAAATGTACCTGTCAGGTTTAGTTACCCATTAGAAATTTAACGTATTATACATTGTATGTTAAAATGTTAATGTGGATTGCATCTTCTTTCAACAGGCCTATTTATGTCTATTCTTTTAATATATTACATGCAGTAGGTTAACTCATGCATAAAGGGACATAACTACCAAATGAATTAAGTAAAGAGGAATGACAGCTCATTATTTAAATCATCTCAAGTATTTTCCTTATTATTGAATTACTTTCTAACTTTCTAACAATTTACTGATAAAGTTGTTATGGAATGACTGTAACTAAAAAGAGTAGCTGTGCATGTCTCTGGTTCAGTGAATTTCCAAGAATCCTGTGTGTCCTACACCATTATTCAATGGTAGCATTAAGGCAAGAGAAGAACTCCTAAATACATTGAGAAAGATGCTGCTGTGAAGTTCATGCCTCAGATCCTATGTTCATGGTCACAAATAGCAGAGCATGTAATTTGCAAAGGATCACAACATCGCTAATAAAAGGTGATCCTTAGGTTTCAGTTACATATAGAAGTAACACACAAAGATGCAACCAGAATAGGAAAGTTTAAGGAATTAATTGTCACTAGGAAAGGAAATAATTGCTTTAAAGATGCTGTGACATGTAATGCAAAAAAAACCCCATAGAAAATCTTTTGGGAAGCTGAATAAGCATTGCAAAATGTTTTCATGATTATGGAAAGATAATTTTGAAATTGAAAAACATTAACTAACTTACAGATTCTGAGTGTTCCATTACAGCCAAGACAAAGAAGACATATTCTTGACCACTCTGTAGTTGCTTATTCTCAAATCCACCATAATGCTTCTTATCCCCCAATGTGAATTCCGTAGGAAGAACTTCAAAGTGAGCTGCAATATATGGCTTTAATTCAACTTCCCGCCCAAGACGAATGCTTCTGCGTTTCCTAGCTATCTCCTTAAGCAGCTTTAGAATGAAGGGAAGGGAAAGAGAGAGAGAGAAAGAGGAGGCATGAACAGAAAGATAACTGTAAACAATTTTAATGTAACTTATTGAGAATGTAATGAGAAAATTTAACGCATGACCAGGAACTACAAAAATAAATTTAACCACATTTCATGGGATGTATCAGTATCACTAAATCGGTTCTTGTAAAATCTTCCAATTTCTTGTCATTCTTGTTAAGATAAGATACTAGGAGGCAACTGTACTGCCCAGACTACAAACACAAAACAATTTTCAGTGATAATGTTGTGCCTGGGGTGGGGCAAGGGCATGGGAGGAAAGAAAGGAAAAGAAAGCAATATACCTTCTCTGAGGACATATATATACACACATCACATTACATATTTAATATATATATATGTATGTATGAACATATATGAAGTCAGTCATAGAACAGAATGGTAGAATTATTTATGTTGGAAAAGACCTTTAAGATTGAGTCCAACACTGCCAAGTCCACCATTAAACCATGTCCCTAATCGCCACAACTACACATCTTTTTAAATACCTCAAGGGATGGTGACTCAGTCACTTCTTCTGATAAACAAAGGTAAAATTTACATCAGTACATTTGTGACAAGATTAGATGCTGGGTTCAAACTTGGAAAACATATACTAACTAAAGAAGGAACTTAAGCTCTGCTGGTATAACCTATTAATGAATTACTTACTAAATCAGACAAATGCTTTTTCAACACCTTTTATCACTTTAGATATACTGGTAGTGCACAAAAATGAATCTGATTTGATTAAAAGGAGTCTGAACTTTTCCTGTGTGATAAGTGATGACTTCTAAGGCCTCTTTACAGTTTCCCTCATTTTTTACTTATGAAACTTATTCAATGTCCTGTAGTCTCAGACTTCAATCACAAATTATTCTCAGGTCACCTCATTGTTTTACACAAACAGTTCTAATATAATAGATTAGCACAAAATTCTTTGTTAGGAGAAGGAGACAAATCTCCAGAGTGAGAAAGAGATAAATAAAAAAAGATATGAAAATCTAATCTTAACTATATATATTCATTTTAAAGGACATGTTTAATTAGGGAAGCTCTGTCTTGATTCAGCCTCTCTTTCAGTGTTAGGCCACAGCTTAACTAGCACATCTTTTTGACTTCCCCACATGGGATCTTGTACTTTGCAATTACACAATTAACAATTCCAATGCATGTAAAACAATCTAATATTCACTCTGTTACTGAGAAAGACACTTTTAATACTGATTACTTTAACACCCCTTGTCACTGACCTCAATATTTCAAACACAGACTACAGATAGACACGGAAGCAACCTGTACCACTTGGATCCAAACTTCCTTAACTAACACTGAGGGCACTTGGAAGTTACACCTTCAAAGATGGTATACAGTATACTGCATACTAGTATACAGTTAACTGCTTTCCAGCTCTAAGGCTGAGTCCGTTCCCTGTTGTAGAGATTTTACATTCATTTAACTCTATCAATTTTCAATCCTACGACACAAAAGCTGGTACACTGCAATGGATCCCCTGAGCAAAAAAAGAACTGGCCATAATTTGAGAGTAGAAGTCATTATTCACCACTCAAGGACACTATCACAATCAGCAGTCCATATTTCTCTTTCATTCTTCCTAAACAGTTTAATGAGCAGCTAGAGTCAATTTGTGTCATATAAAAATGAGGGCAGTAGAGAACTGTAATATTGAAAAGATTTCTATTTAGTTACTTTATTGAAGGTGACTCTCACATCTGTTGGTAGCTTCCTATGCCCCAGGTAGAGTTGCTAAATGCAGAACATGAGGCAGAGACTAATCAAAGTTTGTTTCAGGTTAGATCAGCCCTTGCAAGAACTGCTGATGGAAGCACTCTGAAAAGTTTGTCTCTATAGGAAGCCATGTTTTATAAGGGTAATAACAGCTAGGCAGAGGGCTGAGCACTGGATATCCCGAAGTCCGCTGAAACATTAAGTTAATATTCAAGTAATAACAGTGTATGCTATCTGGAAATCAGGAGTCACAAATATGGCAATACTAGTACATGGCTTGTGCCACCCCCAAAGATGACTGATATTTTCATTTATGGTTACTGTTTCCACTGGAATTTAAACTTACTTGTGTGGCTAACTCAAGTAAATTCTTTATCATATGTTTCCAGATTACACCATATTTACAATTCAGATTTTAAGCAACTCATAATAAAATGTCAAAATACGGCAGTAGTACTGCAATCAAAATTAGATTGAGATTGAGAGGGGAAGAAAAACGTTTGATCTTGATTATTTCTCTTTGAAATAGTAACATAAAATGCATATAATTTGAGGAAAAATCAATGCTGAAGTACTGTATTACAGTGATCAGAAAATGAGCTTTGGCTATGAATGCTAAAAGTTAATTACCCTGAGTCAAACAAAATTTGTTAAACTTTCTCAAAGCTGGTTATTCATCACCAAAGGCCAGCTAAACTTAGGTGTGTTTATCTGTAGATAAAAATCTTGTCAGTAACATTAACTACACATGACTGAATAGACCTCAGGTGAACCTCTGGCCTCATTCATGTTTCATATATAAATGAGGTTGTTGCCAAATATTGTTACTTGCTCATATATCTCCTGTTGTACTTCACACATAGATTTCAATAAAATTACTGAATTCATTTAAAATTTAACACGCATACTTTTATTTAGGTTTTACTGCTTACAAATCTGAAGTAATCCTCCTAGGTAATACTGAAAATCATACTTTTTCTACTTCATTTCAGGTCTATTTAAAGTCACTAGATCTCATGATATTTAGAAGAAAATGAAATTTTGAGTAAAAAATGACAGTATTTTTAATAACTATTATTTTCAGATACATAACATCTTGCCCATTATCTGCTCTAAAATTATGCATCTTTCTTAGTGTCTTTCAGAACTGAAGTTCAAGGAACCAAGGAGATTAGGTAACTACAATAAGGCTGGAGAATCTTTTGGGCTGGCCAGTTCTGTACTGGAGGTAACATTCCAGTGTTGTGTTTCTAGCAAATACTTTTCTTCTGACAATCTAAGCAAAGCATTTGGAACACAGATCTTTGGAAAATCTATTGCCCAACCATTTCTGATACATAGCCATATACCTGAGATTGTATTAAAAATATAAATATGCACAAGTATCTTCACTTGACCATCAAGAACCATTTGCTCAGAGTAGTGTGGGGTTTTTTGTGGTTTTTGTTTGTTTGTTTGTGGGATTTTGGGGGGCAGGAGGTTTGTGAGGGGTTTGTGAGGGGTTTTTGGTTTGGTTGGTTTTGGTTTGGTTCAGTTTGGTTTCTGTTTTTGTTTTTTTTTTCCCAAAGGTATTTATTGTGGCACTGTGTTCATATGTTTGTCAGTAATAGCACGCTCAATAAAACTGTATATGTATTTTCTAAAGCTGGAAGAAAAACAGTCTTTTAAATAATAGAAACTGGATGAGTTAGCATGATGTACAGTTGCTGCCTGCTTTTAGTATTTTTCCCTACTCAGTTCTTGCTATATATGTCGGTGGCAATTGTAAAAGATATATCAAGGGGTTTAGTTCTTTATCAGAAATAATTTTCATTTTCCAGTCAATGCATATCCTATTTCTTTCACCATTAATTCTATGACGTGGTCTCAATTACATCAGTAGAAGTGGGAAACAACCCATCCTGACCCAAATATTTCTGAATTAATAAATGCTCTTTATCAATCTGTTATACAGACTAATGCACCACAACTTGCAGGATGATTAAAATGACCCTTTGTTATGGGAATCAGCAGGAACTGTAGAATTTAATTGCCAAAAAGTTCAATGTCATCTGGCACTTATCCTTTAATCTGTTAATGCTGCTGGATGTGAGTACGGTCTTTGGATGTTAAAAGTGGGTGGTAGTATTAAATCAGTTTCCATTACTGTAGGATCTTGCTGTCAGAATTTTACTGTTTAACTGTATTTGATGTCACCTATGACCATCATCATGAGCTGATAACATTTACTACCCAAGTTCTTTTTAAGGGAAGACGTTAATAGATCAAAGCAAGCCATTGCTGCAATTGAATGAAGTGAGATGATGGCATAAATGATCCTGGTCAAGAAAAAACACAGGGTTTGATCAGTCAGTCATCATGTCTTCCTCTGAACAGTCATCTTTAATCTTCTGATTAAGGATTTGCCTGTTGCTGTGATAAAGACTGAAAGAACTTGGTTTATATTTTGAAAGCTTTCTACTGCAATGCTAGTTTGGTGAAAATCTATTTTCCCTACAGGTTGTGCAAACTTTGAAATTTATATGCATTTTATCAATGTCAAGAGAGAAAAAAACCTTTGTGGTTGCTCACAGGTGATTACCACTTCCCAGTAATTGTGTTATGGGGAAGCATATGGTGAAGCATCTCTGTTACATAAAAATCTGGAATCTACCAAAAGAAAATGGGAAAACGGATGGGATCCAGTCAAAAGATAGCTAAATCAAGAGTAAAAAACTTGACTGTGGTCTTTGAATTGCAGAGATATTACATGAAAAAATTGCCATAGTATCTGAAAATCCTGGCCAGAAACAACTATAGCAATAATAACACCACTACCTGTCTTTTATACAAGGCTTTCTTATGGGGCCCTTAAAAGAGTTTTACAATCGTAAATATTAGTATTATTCCAAATTTACACATTGAAAGAAGAAAGACAAGTTCACATGACCTATACTGTCCTCGAGTAAAACAGAACACAGGGCTGACTGCTGACACAATACTTCCTGGAATCAGTATTATATCAATAACATATTGAACTGATATCCAGTATTACTAGGCTTATATCTAAAATGAAAGTACTTGTGTCCTTTGGGTTAGTGTCATTTATAGTACCAAATGATGACACAACGTTGCTCTTTCCTACTTCATTCATCTATTTATTTCTGAGCACGAGATTGTTGGTAGAATGGAGGCTACTTCTAACCAGAAGTACTATGGTATCTGAGAATCAGGAAAAATACCACCAGAAGGTCAAATGTTATATTGCAGCAGAAATTGCAATTTAGCATTTGTTACAGGCTTAGTGAACACCCCACTAATGAACCAGACCTTTATTAGGGTTTGTATCACTGGTGATTAAGCTTTTGCTGACAACTCATTTCACCTCTTGCTCTTTTGCATCACTCTTTACAACAGAAAAAGAGTAAAATATTAATGTCAACAAATATTAGACACTTTGTGTGCTTTACTGCAACTTAATGTCTTTACTGTCTTCTCATTTCTGTAATTCACACTTTTGTTTCAGTCCCTGCAGGTTAATTCAAATATAAACTATCCCGACAACCAAAACTTTTAAAACTGATGAATTAATCACATACAACTAATATTGTTTCTTTAATAAAAAAAAGAAAAAAATCCCTCACATACAGTACCTCATCTAGTTCCATTTCATCTGGACTCTCCCATGGTTTAATAAACTTTCCACGAGACCTCTTCAAAGGCACAATAACTATGTAATAGCCTCTGTAAATAAAACAGTTGGACAAAAGTAAATTTGAAAGAAAAGGAATAAATAAATTGGTGTAATAAGTGTCTGTTCAGCGTAACTTAAGAGTGGTATGTTGAGAATAAACTTTTGCAGATTAATATGTCACTGCAGCCTTCCAAACAGCTGTAAACATTCACACTCTTGAAAACACATCAACATAAAACATTTGACAAACAAATGGCACCATTTACCTGACTTTTTGTGCAAATATATAAATATTTATAATAAACTTTAATTACAGTGTTTGAAAATGCCTTCCCGAGATACAAGAGCCATGGGATATTTGTGCCCTGCCACCATTACACTGGAAAAAAAACTCCCAAGCCCTTAAATTGAAACCTATTACCATATATTTACATCTCAATTACCACCCCATCTTCCCCAAATTTTAATGTATAATCAGCATGGTAGCTTAACAAAATATGTTTGTTGATGTCAATATTACGATAAAAAGAAAAGAAAGAAAACATGACATATACTTCACCCATACTTTCTTTACTTTTGGGTAGCAGTCGCCATCAGCTTTACCTACCTAAGTATTCTGTTCACAGGCATAGGCAAGAGAGCTTGGTTTATGCTCTCTTTATAGCTAGGATTTGCAAATTACATATATCGGTTTTCCACAGAAACATTTTCCTGAAAACGTCTTCCTCCTTCCCACCCATGGAGACTAGTAAATTATACTTTCTAGTATAATAGTGATCTGGTACTTTCCTCGTTTGCTTCAAAAAGCAAATACATGTCAAGCAGATACATAATTTCACATTAGTGTGAGGGAAGAAGCAGTAGAATCACAACATCAGGACATCCAGGATAGTAAAATGTACATCTTCTTGATAAATACACTTGCCAAAAAGTCAAGCACTCTCCATCCCAGGGGAGAGGGAAAGAAGCTAGTTTTCTTTGTTTCTAGTAACAACATCTTATTAAGGTGTTTCTGGCCCTCCATTATGGAAGACAACTTTAGTGTCTCATGGACCATCTCCTCTCACTCTGCCTCTTTTTTATAGCCTGTTCAACTTTCTGCAGCACTGACTATTTTACTCATGCAATGCACTTGCAAATCCTAGGTAATTAACAAGAGAGTCTACAGAAAAGGACCTGCCTTACAATTGATTGAAGACTCAGTCTAAACTAACTATCTTTTTTCCATAGCAGTGCAAGCCATTGATCCATTTTATTCAGCTCTTCTTACTTAAAGCTCCTTCCCATAAAAGAAACGTAACAAAACTTTGGACTTTCAGCTACTATAGTAAGTGCACATATTCATTAATTCTTGTGTTAAGTAATTTGAGAAAGTTTTTTGTGTAAATATATTAAAAACTCTTTGGTTACATGAATAGCAAATCCTAGTGAACACTGATTTATCCATATATACAGTAAGCATAACTTACACACCTTTTCTTTAACAGATGCCTAAGAATCAAGACAAAAAACAATTGAGAACTGGCCCCTTTGTGTCTTTCAAACATCAAAGATAAATCTGCTGGATGAACTGCATAACAGTCTCTCATATATCCTTGTTTTTTTTCATCTTCTTCATCTTTTTATTTTTTTCAATCAAGGAACTTCCAGCATGTAAATGTTACTTTCACACTCTTTCACAATTCCTTCATCCAAGTCTCCCACTCATAACTTTGAACATCTACTAAGACTTTCAGCACACATAGAGTATTTTATGCTGAAAGAACAAGTAGATCAATAGTAAGCAGAAAAATGAAAATGTTTTCACCAATATACAGTGCTGCAAATTATGAAGGACAACAAAGTTCTTTGATTTCTAGCTAACTCCAGAAGATGTAGCATCTCTTGAGAAACATGTTTTATGATTTCCTTCATTATTCGCTTCTTTGGTTTTAGGTTCTTTTTGGGGTAGAGGGGAAGAGAGGAAGGTGAGAAATGAAGGGCTGGTTTGGATATTGTCTGATCTACTGAGTATTTTGAAGGCCAAAGTCTTCCACAAAACTCTTTTTTTACCTAAGAGTCTGGAAAGATGGAAGAGATTCAGAGAAACATGAACTGTTCTTTACACAAAAAAATTGCTTTGGATTAGCCCAAAATACTAAAAGAAAAAAATTAAGAAATTTCTCACTTGAGATTATGCCAGCAAAAGAGATATTTTACTAATCACAAGGTGAGCTCTGCACCAATTTCTATGATCTATCACCATCAAACACTGACAACTACTACCATTTTTTAATTACAAAACCTTTTATAACATTACCCTCAATCCCATTAGTATTTACCTGTAGTTCATTAGAGCAAACCATTACCTTTTTCACCTTCTGTGTAATTAGTATTATTGAAAAATTCTCAGTACTTCATCTTAAGCTAGAGACAATCCTGAGCATATAATGTACCAATAGAGGAACAGTAAGTCTAAAAATGTCAACCTAACTACTATGGAAAACTGTTCTTCCCATACAAAGATTATAGCAGAATAATCTTACTTATTCTAGCAAGCATCATGTCAGGTTTTTCTGTTCAGTATGTAGCTGCTTTGTAATGCCTGATCCAAGGGTCAAATGAATCTTTTTTGTTTTATTACTTCAAGCCTGATCAAATCTTCTTAGGAAATAGATACAGAAGGAGGAGGTACATTATTTGCAAAATCGACAGTTGAACCCCATAATGGACCTTTGCTGATGTCACTTTGCCTTTTTAATTTTTTTTACAGTACATAAAAAGAAAGGCATTGTCTCTTTTTTCACTGCTTTCTTTGGCTACTGTTTGACTAGCTATCCTGCACTTTTTTCTCTCTGTGAATGTTTTGCCTCATAAATCTTTTTTGACTCATTCCATCTTCAGTCTTCCTTAGCTGCATTTGTTACTGACCGCATCTTACTCAATCTAATGATAATGACTACATTTTTCAGTTTTTCATCCTTTTAATGTCTCAAAGTCATTTATTTCTTGACCTTACCTGCCTCAAAACCCTCAGTCAGTAATGAAAAAGGAGGGCAGCTTTCTACAAAGCCGTCAGTAAAAATCCACCAGGGAGAGGACAAGTTGAATCCCCAACAATATTTAATGACTGGCTCATTTTCCTCCCCATTTCCTTTACATTACACATGGGAACCTTACAGACCAACAAGAATCACTATAAGCAGAGCAATAACACTTATTGATTGTATCATGCTTCATGTTTTCCTGGTAAATCTTTATGTCTAACCTTTCTAATCCCTGCTGACCATGTGCTGTCAGGTCTTTAGTCCTATTTCTGCTGTTTACATTTCCACAGCACCTGTTCCCCCCAAAAATCTAAGCAACCTCTAGGAAATTGCCCATTTTTTCAGCAAAATCTCCGGTTTTCTTTCTGAGACCATTGGAGAGGACCTGGCATTTTTTTCTTGATAAAAAACTTCAGAATTAATTAATCTGAATTAATATAAGTGCACCAACAAGTCTTTAAAACTCCACATAATGGAGTCATTCTGGAATGACGGAGTCTGAGTACTTCAAGTATCTACAACAGGGTACTCATTCATGGGTTATTCATTCTTTCTGAAAGGATATATTGCTCAATATAGGTTGTTTTCTGCATACCTCATTTTGCAGTCAGTGATGAAACACAAAAGTACTCTGAGAAAAATCTACATTCTCCATACAGGTCTTACATACCTGGCTATGGGACAAACATAGAGAATACTTCTAGTTGGAAGTGACCTACAGTGATTGCCTAGTCCTACTACCTGACCACTTCAGGGCTGACCAAAAGTTAAAAAAAAATATTAAGGGCATTGCCCAAATGCCTCTTAAATACTGACATGCCTGAGACATTAATCACCTCAGGAGGAAGCCTCTTCTAGTGTTTGAAAACTCTCTCAAGGAAAGAAATGCTTCCTAATGCCATCTGAACCTCCCCTGATATGCAGCTCTGAGGTTCATGTCCTATAAATGGATCCCATAATTGATTAGCAGCTCTCTCTCCACTTTTCCTCCTCAGGAAGCAAGGACGTGAGCCCTCAGTCTTCTTTTCTACAAACTAGACAAGCCTTAAGTCAGTCCTTAGCAGCTCCTCACATGACATGGTATCCAGTCCTTCCACCTTTGTTTCCCTCTGCTGGATACACTCAAGAACCTTTACAACAGAATGTGGCATTTGCTCTTGCTAAATTTCATGCCGTTGCTGACTGCCCAGTGCTCAATCTACCTATATTCCTCAGGAAGGCCTCTTGTCCCTTGAGAGAGTCAATAGCACCTCCAAGTTTACTATCATGAAATATTATCCCAGCATTAGTTCAAATACTACTGCAGAGTACTGTACTCTCTGTAGCATTATGAAGAATAAAGCCTTGGTCTACCATGAAGAGTCAGAATAATCATTTTTCTGGAAATAAAAACAATGGTACTTAATTCATTCACTCACTTTATATTCTCATTTGAGGGTACTTTTGGAAGTTCCACAGTTATCATGCCATCTAAGTTGGTCTTTCCGATGAAGACTGGCTTGGTGCGAAGCACATCTGGTGCAGTTTTTGCGGTCACTCTGTGCTGAAGACCCCCAGCACTATTTCCTCTGTTTGTCAGCACAAATGAGTATGATGTCTCTGGCTTCAAGTTAGTGATCAGCTTTTGAGTAGCACGTCCATCAACCTCCATTTTCCCATCATCATAAAGGATCTAAGTTAATACACATTAAATTGAAGGTGGTTTTCATTACTAAGACAAGGCAAATGATGCTGTCACACTGAATTCAGGAATGGACCCAGCTATAAATTTAAAATGAAAGTTTAAAAAGGGCATTTTAGGTTCTAAAATAATACTGAATTCACTATGGCAATTAAACTTCTCACTTTTGGGGAAAAAAAGAACTACATTAATCTAGAGCAATGTGAGCACTCCTAAAATCCACACAGTCCTTATTTAGAAAGGTTTTTGCAATTTAGTTCATAAAATACTGTTCTGCACTTGCCAATGCCTGAGATGACACAGACATTAAGAATGATACAGATCAAATTGTAGGCAGACTGCATGTTAAACTAAGTCCCTGTATCTGGCTAATGTTATAGTTAGTGGAATAAAAGAGTTGTAAAGTGAAAATCTGGTGTTGTAAATGTAAGGAGGGAAAAAACAAAATGGTATTCAATTGTAGTCAATACAGATTAAAAAAATAGGAAGAAAATTATTATTTTCTTTCACTGTTTTCTTTAAAATATTTTAGCAATGAACTACAAATTAGCAAGGTGTTCTCATCATGCATATTAACCAGTATGAGCCTGACTTGGAAACAGTGCCACAACAGTGGAAAAGTCATGTTACCGTATGACTAAATTTAACAGTAGCACTGCTGATTAGTATGCAATCTTAAACAGAGCCAAACTGACACCAAGAAAAATCTCCATGTTTAGTAAGCTACTTAATCAGGTGAAAGACATCCTCTAGTTTCTGTTATTTTCTCTTGTACAAATGGAAAGTAACTTACTTTGAAAGGCAAGGCTGAATTGTAGTTTTCTGGAATTTCCCAGGACAGCAAAACAGAAGTCTTCATTACTGCTTTAACATGAAAATTTTTTGCAAACACTGCTGGAAAAAAAGAAACAATGTATATAAACAACATCTTGGTGCTTAGATCTTGCCATATTTCCACTGCTACTTGGGACTATTAGCTTTCCATTTAGGTCAAAAACAAACAAGGATTCGATTCTCCTACCTGTCTGTTCATATTTAAAGATCATATTTAAACTCACTCTCACTCTTATTTAGTGACAACCCAATACGCAAATTTTCCTTACCTGAAAAAATTGTGGAGATGTTAGCCAGAACTTTCTTGGCAAGGGACAATTGAATTCTAAGGCATCCAAAAGATATTAAGATTTACATACTTTACCTTCTGTGTTTGATGAACCTATTTTTATGAATGGGCTGGTGAGTTTTATTTATACCTTCAAAACCATTGATATCCAAAGACCGATACTCCTTTAAAGGTCAACGCCATAAGCAGACAAATCCTACCTTGATCCACGGGTAGTGTCCTGAACTGGACACTTGGACTATATGGACCAGGCCCTTTGCTTGTGTGGGCACGTACTTTTACATCATATGTGGTATCTGGTTTTAAGCCAGAAAGTGTCACAGTGGTATCAGCAGGAACAACAGGGAGTTCAACTGGCTGGTAAGCAACATTGATATCTCTGTACAAGATGGTATATTTGGTGATAATGCCATTTCTCTCTGCCAAGAGCGGCATCTGCCAAGTTAATTGAACTGATGTAGAAGTAGAGCTTTCCGAGTGGAGATTTTGGGGAAATCCACTGGGTACCTCTTCAGGAACAGAAATCTCTTTAACCATCTCCTCCCCAAAGCCCACTTTATTTCTAGCTGATAGCCTGAAGACATAAGAAGCTCCTTTGTGAATGTCTGTGGCCGTGAAGTGATCTTCCTTCTCCGAGAACTCCATGGTTGTATATGTATCCACGTCTTTGCGACCAAACTTCAGGCGATAACCCTGCAGCGGGCCGAAAGTTTCCACAGGAGGATGCCACTGAATTAGAGCCGTGTTCATCTGTGTGTGGCTAATCACAAGCCGAGGTTTGCCTGGAACTGTAGCACAATGTTATTTAAAGATGATAAATAGAAACAAAATTTCATGTACAATTCTTGAGGCTAGTTTTAGCAGGAATAGGGATACATTTTCTCTTTCCTCACTCTTAGCTCCACTGTCTTATGGAAGAAATAATGTCTGCCTCCCACACTATTAAGTCATACAGTATAATGAACTGCAACAGTGGAGACATTTACTGATTTTTTGTCTTCTTCCCTTACCATTATTTCTAAATACAGTGAACATTCAGAGACACAGGACCTAGGAACACAAATCAAGAAGTAAAACTTCAAGCAGACTTCTTATGCGTGGTTCTGTCTCAGTTACAAATCCTTTCTTGAAAAAAAACCCCTTGTCATAAGTTTTCATTAATTTAATCCAAGGCATTTCCTATAAATAGGGAAATAAAGAATTATAATAATAGTAGTAATAATAATAATGAAAAAATTACAGATTTCTAGATATATCTAACATAATTTTTAGTATATATCTAACATAATTTTTAATATTGATAGTTAAAATGTGGTAGAAGGGAAGTCAGAACAACCTTTTTCTCAAGAATCATTACTACATATGATAGAACCCTACTTTCCATACGAAAATCACCTCCAGCATAGGCTGTTTCAGCTTGAAGAGGCAGCACAGTTTGACATTTAATTTTTTGACTGTCCTGGCTTATCATGTATGATTTATTTTCCAGCATGGTCTCGGTGCACATGAACTGGATTTCTTCTGAAGAAGACTAAATTGGTAGCTCTTCTTAACCTGCACACCAAATACACTCACATTCTTAATTGAGACCCACTGCTGATTTGTCTTTCAGAGAAGTTCAGACTGCATGTTTGTCAAGGACATTCAGTCTAGAGGATCGAGTTAGTCCTGATAGAGACAGAAATCTCATTACACAGCTTATACAGTGTACATTTTTGGAGTCTCAATATCAGTTGCTCTCATTTACTCTTCCTATTTAATTGAGTAATTAATTTTAATTTATTCATATCCATTTATATACCATTCATTTATATTTTCATTAATATTTTTATTTCAACATAGTCTGTTTCTATTACAATGACTTGTTTGAAACACACCCATAACTATTTAGAAATTTGGTACTCATTGTGTACCAATGCCTGACAGGTCAAGAGACTAGAATAACTTTGGGAGTGGTAGGACACGGATAACATAAGTCTTCAATGAAGACTAATTAGCTTCATCCGCATTTGAAGTCTTCCCACATGAATGTAACGGCTGCACTGTGAGCTCTGGTTCCTGTATTTAAACACTTCAATAGATTTTATTACTCATCTTCAGTTCTTAGGCACCAAGCAAATCAGACTGTTATTGTCAGAAGTTCTGACTACCACCCCATAATGAATTAGGAATAAGGCTGGAAGAATGGCATGCCTTGAAGAAAATTCTGCATTTAGTAAGCTCCTTTCTCATTACATCTGTCATAAATCATGACATTGCTTCTAATTTCCTAAGAATTATAGATAGGTTTTATATAAATTTTCCAAATAACCTTAATTTTAAATCTCTAGTTCATTTGGCAGCCTTATTCCCAGGAATCTTATGAATTTTTTCCCACACCTTCTGGTGTGTAAAGAATATCTATCTGATTAGTTCTGAATTTTCCTCATTGATAATTACAAGCCTTTATGAAACAAATAAAAGGCTGTGAAGGTCTTTTGCAGGCCATATTTTTCACTGCATTACAACTATTATTGACACTAATGTAGCACAGGAAAGAACAGAAGAGTTCACACAAAAAGAATAAAAACTCCTTCAGCCTTCTAGAGGAGAGACTGCTTGAAGGTATTACTAAATTATTTTTGTGATAAATTGCCTTTTTTTCTTGTGGTAGGTGTCATAATTAGAACTGCTTTTTAACCTTTGTGATAATTACAGAGAAATAAAGAAATTAGTACTTGCTCTTGATCAGAATGAGGAACTAATAAAGCTTACTTATCCAATAAAATACCACGACTAAGATGGTAAATAATAATAGTAACTTTTTTTTTACCATAGATCCTATCTGACGTTGCAAAGTGGATAAATTTCTTTTTATTTCCAGACAGCTGTCAGTTGACATTTACTTTTAGTATGATCACTTGTGAATGTTACAGTCTTTTAGGATGAACAGCAGGATTCTGTGCAGTTCTATATATGTTTGTGTAATGAAACAGATCTATCTAGAAACTTCAGATAATAGCCTAAATTTTCCATGAGCCTAAAAGAAGAGAAATTGTCCATAAAAAAAATAATTCTCTGACCTAGTAAAATCCTCTTCCAATACTACACAGCAAGACATCCCACACATACCCCTTTGCCACAGACATTACTGTTGTAATGGCATGCCATTGCTAGCAGCAGCTCATACAAGCTGCCTTTGCCAAATTACCTGAAGTAATTTGTTTCTGTTAGCTGCTGTAAAGTACACCACTGCCTCAACATAAACTTTCTCCTTTTAGCTGAAATCTGGATTTCAAGACAGCTGTACAGCATGAGAGCAAATGCCAAATAATGGACAAACTACTGTACTTAGATTCTTCAACTACTGTGACTCAGAAATTAAAGGTCTGACTAAAAACTTCATAAAAATTGTATGACATCACTGCCTAGGAAGTCTTCATTTTTATCAAGGTCTTATTAATCACATATTTTTTAACTTTTGTCCCAAGTAATTTAAAATTTTCAAGTACTTTGATTTAGAAATGTTCAGTAACATTTTTTCTTCCATCTGATTTCAATGACAAGGAAAGGAAATTTAATATAAGAAAAAATACACACTTTGAAGTGAAAATAGTAACAGCATTCAGTGACTTTACTAATAACTGAGTAACTGTACTGTAGGTTTACTTATATTTGGTGAATTTTTCTGTCTAAAAATGTAAATTAAGCTTTTCTATCACTAACTGGACACAGCTAAATAGTTACTTATTATCTGAATAGCCTACCGATCACAAGCTTCTCCAGTAAATGTTTAAACATCTATTCTCTTTTCATATCTCCTATGGATATAATCTCAGTCATTCTAATACATCTGACTTCAAACTTTAAAAGTTAGACTAGAGAGTCAGACCTTGTATGTGCTTTATTGTTGTATTTGAATAGCCCCGTTTCAGAAAAAATAGAAATCAAATGCAAGCTCAAAGAGAACAGAAGGACCTACAATCACTTGGTATTAATGCACCATTCCCTCACTTGTGTGAAGTATTCTCATAGAAAGACAGTGAGCAAGAAACTCTTGGTACTAACTATATTTAATGTCTTCTTTTTCAAAAATCTGCATATGAATTTTCTTTACAAAAAGAGCTCAACTACAGCAAGCTGTACCACCCAGTGAATAGATATCCATACAATCTGGCATACACAAAGCAGCAAAATGGTATCTAGCTGTTATCCTACATACGAAGAACAAACATCACTTTTCCAAAGGGTTAAACAAACAGCCAGAACAGTGTAATATGTATTACATTTATAGACATGCCTCTGATTCTCTACTGCTCTTCAGTCACTCAGGTTTATATGGGATATGGGATTTGTTCCGTCTTTTTAAAGTAGAAGCATCAGGGATCTTCAAGGATCAATAAGGATTAAATGCAGTGAAGCATTAAATTTTGCAAGCACGTTTGCATACCCTATGTTTAGGTCTAGAAATTAATCAAATTATAATTTATATAATTGTGTTTATTTAAATTGGGAACCAAACCTAAAAAAGAATAATGTGCCTTTTTCTTAAATCAAGTTCAAATGCAAGTAAGAGGTATATATCCTTTTTTTTACCCAGACTATGAAAATCCAGGAAAGATAAGAAATTAGAGGGTAAGTTTCAGCATTAGCCAAGAGCAATGACTACAAGGTATTCTAAAATTTGAAATGAAACTATATTATATATCTAGCCATCAGGACTGAGATTTTTCCAAGGAAGCTAATGAGACAAAGATATCCATGTTTTTCATATTAACACAAGACATGTTCTACATTCAGTGATGGTTTTAAAAATTGAGTCAGTCACTATAAATACAAATACATATGCCTTTTGGACTTTATATATTAGCATAAACATAGCATAAACAATTAGCATAACTGTTATTAAGAGAGCTTGTAACAGAGCTACATGTGATTGTTATGGAATATCCTTAATGGTTGCACTACAAACACCCTAAAATGAATATTACCTACATACCTAAAATCTTCATACCTACAGACTGGAACAATTGTAGGTGTGGTGGCATCAATTGGTTAAGCGGTGCCACAGCGAAGCATTTAACTTTAAGTTAAAAAAAAATAACATTGTTCCTCATCTGAAAGCAATTTAGTTCATCCCAGTGCTAACTGCTGAACTGATTATGCAGTCAGATATCCACCATCTAGTACCACTTGTGATCTAATGCAGACTAAACACAGTGGCACGGTGTATTTTGCCTCAGTTTGTGCCTTAAATTACCCATCAATCAATATGGGTTTTGGGGTTTTACAGGATCAACCTTCATTTTGTTTTCCAGTTCTCTGCTTCATAATCACATTCTTCTGAGATAAGTTGTGACTGTCAAGGAGTTAGGTTCTTTCAGTGTTTTCACTGACAGTCAGCAGCATTGCTGCTCTCATGAAGAGCAGGAAAGCCCCTCAGAAATTTTTCAAATATCCTTCTCAGCTCTGACTTTCTATTTTTTCCTCTCCAAGAAGACACCAATCATAATGGAAGAGTTACTAAAAACTATAAAGTGGCCCATCTTGAACTGAGAGGGATAAAGGGGGTTCTGTTTTTATCTAAATAAATAAAGGGCCAAATCTTGAAACAGAAAATGCTATGTCCTGAAAACACTTCTCACACAACAGGAGACTTCCAAATAATAGGAGCAAAACACTAGCAGAAAAAGTCAAAAGATTCACTTAGAGATTAATGTGTATATAAATATTACCTGCACCAGTAGTAGATATGAGTTTGGGCTTGCTGCGTGCTCCATCACCTTTCGTTGTATAGGCTGTCACAGTGAAAGAGTATGTAGTTTCAGGCTGAAGCCCAGAAATTATCATTTCCTAAGATGAAACAGAACAAGAAAAATGAATTAAAAACCGATTATTTGCCAAGAGAGTATGGAATCCTTCAGAACCCCCCTTTATACTACACATAGCATGTATATATTTGAGCTACTGGCAGTGATAGCAAGCATTTGCTGTTCTGTGTGAAATGCTTCATAATGCAAAACGTGTCACTCACTTAAGCAATAAAAGACAGCACACATTCAAATAGTATGCCTCAGGTAGTTTAAAGAAAAAGGCCAAAGGCTGAGTGGTGTGAACAGTGAATAAAGTCTTCTGAAATATATTGCATAAGCAATACTACTGACATTGTGAAATGCATGCATATGTAGATATGAGAAACTCAGTTTCACTTAGTCATTCACAGGATATCACTGATATAGTTCTAAAATGCCTAGTTAAAAAAGTGTTGCATTTATATCCACACACTGTCAGTAATGATGGTTTAGCTGAACAAGGAAACCTCATTATTTTCATTGCACCCCGTGTCACTGGTTGGACTATGCCTCTAAATTTCTCAAAGGACTTCAGAAACAACTCCCCCTTCAGCTCTAAAGGAACTATCTAGAACAGCATTAAAAATCTGGTCAGAGGATACATCTGATGGCCCTCAAACAAACAGCAGCTACAATAGAAGTAGCTCTTCTGCAAGTACAAATGAACACCAACAAGATCGAACTGCAAGTATCACAGCAAAGGGGGATCCTTTTCACATGTGTGCACACACGTACATATATGCACACAGAAGATGGTGAAGGGTGAACCAACAGGAATGCACTAAACTTATGTCATGCTATAAGGGCAATAAGAGGGCTAAGTCTTGACATGCATTATACAAAAAAATTTTATATGCAAATATAAAGGGACAGTATTTGAAGATAGCTGACTGGTTTTAAGTTCCCAGCTTCTAGCCTGTAAGCACTGGACTATTCCTTTGCATTTCCAGATGCCTGAATGAATTTACACTAAATTTCAATATTGCCAGAGAGATGGTGTATTTGTGCACCGAGAATAAATGGCAAATGTGCAATCACACACCCCTCAGATGCAATAGCTATGAAAAGTTAATACAAAAATTATGGGTTAGACTATTCCTAGTATATGAATTTCTCAAGACAGTGGGTATGAGCTTACTAAACATGTGATTGGAATTCAACATTGTATTTGCAATCAGTTATTAGCAATATAGAATAAACAAGGTAATGATTAGAATGAATGGGCAAAGTAGCTCCAACAAAAAATTACTACCAAAAAATCCCCTCCTTAGACTCTATCTCAGAATTGAATTGACCCTTAAGACCAAAATCAGTAAGACGGACTTCACATCTTTCATAAGGAAATTGCACCTGATATTAACAGAATTAAACTAAAAGGCATAAAACCCCCCAAAACCACAAAACCAAAGCAGTGAGGAAGATGTTAGCCTCACCTAAAACAATCAGTTCTTCATGGTGTAAGAGATATGACTGCATGTTTAAAAGTGTGACTTGGATCCAGCAAACCTTATTACTCAGGCATAAACAGTGCATGGTATGTGGCTTTTCTGATAGCACACATTTATTTTAACCAAAAGAAAGCACAACTGACTTCAAATTTCAGTTACCCAAAAAAACCAACCTTAAACTGAATACAGAAAAATACAAGAATTGGTATGCAACTCTGAACCACTTTTGTTTTATTTTTCTAACACCTTACAAACAAGAAATTGTGAGGCAAACTTAGTGACAGCCATCAAAAAGATGAAAACACAAACCAGTGCTGTACATTTTGGCATCATGCTAAACCTCAAAATAAGCAAGCAACAGTAACCCTCTCTCCCTGGGAAAAAAAAAAATAAACCAAAAAAGTGTCCTAAAAGAAAACCTTTGAAGTTAGGAGCATGCGTTTGTGCAATGACAAAAAAACCCAAACCAAAACCAAACACAAAAAAATACCCCAAAAAAGCCCAAAAAATTAGAACAATGCTACAAGCAAACAAGCAATAAAAAGAAAATCCCAAACCAAACCCACAATGTTTTTCTGCCCAGTCAAAAACTACTTACATGTTCAGTAGTATCATCATATTCCCACTGATTTAGAGTAAAGGAAGTTGAAGGGAAAAACAAAAGAAATAAGGAGATTTGTAGCCTGGTTGAGATAAAGTTTTCTTCTTAATAGTAAAATAAATATCAAAGATGTTTCAAAAAATTGTTTACAGTTTGAATTAATTGTGTAGAATTATGAAATCAGGCTGGACATTTTTAATTCTGTTTCTGCTTTCCCTAAAAATCAGCTACTTGTCTTTCCTTGACAAATGAAAGAAGTAACGAATCCTCTTGTACCACATAGTATTATTTTATAACAGTTTGTATTAAAAGTTACCAAGGTAGAATTACAGGTTACCTTGGATTAGTTAACCAAGTTACCAGGCTATATGTTTCAGTTTACTAAATTAATGCAACTCATTATTTAAATTACTAGTAGGATTTTTTAAGTCCTGAAACCTAATCACACTGATACTTTAACCTCAGGGTCTTCACGCCTGCACAAGCCCTGATGACATGCATCACAGAAGTATGACAGGCAAGAAGGAGTGTTAGGAAGAGAAGGTAGTTGACTATCCAGCATGGAACAATGGCAAACAGGCAGGTCAAAGTTAAACTTCACAAAAGAAGAAATAAAACTTTTGCCTTTACAATATTTGGGCTCAAATATCTCATCTAGTCTCCAGTTACTAACTTACTAGTGTTTAAAACTGTTTAAACTCAGAGAGGATGAAAGTAAAAATTTGTGCAAGGAGGGGGAGAACCAAAGCACACTAACACTAGCATGGCCTTTTTCATCGCCTCTCCCTCTTCCCTTTCCCTTCCCACTTCCTGAACCACTTTCATCTTTCTCTCCACTGAATTTAAGCTGCAAGAACACTGTGTTTTGCAAAATAATTAAATAAGTACTGGCAGGTAAAACTGCAACAAAGATGTCCAGACACAGAGACAGTATTTTGAGAATAGGGTCATCAGTAAAATGCAGGTGTAGGAGATCTATTCAAAAAAAGTCTCTGCAGAACTGAAATTTAGAACTAAGACTGGGAGAAAAAAAAAAGCAAAACCCCCATATATTTACTCACATAAAATACTTAGGAAGCAGATTTAACTCTTTAATTTAGGTTGATAATTTCATTTCCAGGCAATCCAGTCATAAACCATGGGTTAGGAGTGAGAGGTGTGTACTTGATAACAGTTTCAACGTAGGATGACTCGTCCAGTACCAGAAGCTTTGGGAATCTTAAGTTTTACAGAACACTTGCATCACTTAGTAAAATCCTAGTTTGAGAAGCTTTTTAAACTTGATGTTTTCATCACCTCATAATCTCATAATCTCATAATTTCTAAAACACGGAAAATTTTGCAATATAAATAACCGCATGCCTGTTTCAACTAAGCTCCTAATTTTATTACAGTTATGATATGAATAAAAAAAAGTATAAATACCTCAGTGGTTTTATACAGTTGCATTAAGAAAATTCATTTCTTGTGAAATGTGTGGTGAGGTGCATACAAGCTAATCACAGAAACACTGTAATAATGGGCTAACACAGGCTTCTAATGATTTTAGGCTCTCTACTGAAACAGTGCAATAGCAGATGGGAGGAACAGGCCGTGCACAATTTGCTACACTGAATGTGACCTGGGTCAGACTACCCTGATGCTTTAAAACTTCAGAGAATAGGTATAGGGTGTCCATCAGTCTCTAGGTTTAGGGGGACTAGAAGAATGACACATCTTAGCATTTAGGTGTAGACCAATAGAGAAGAAGGTGTCTAGATTTGGCCCAAGAACCTTTAAATGTTAGTGTTCTAAAAAACTTTTTAAAAATAGAGACAAAAAATGTTAGCAGGTAGGCTGATAAACAGAAAGGAAAAAAACACACACAAACAACAAAAGGCAGTTCTGGATATCTCTCTGGTACATTAAATGTCTTCACTGTGACCTAGAAAAGAACACAAAGGGCTCGAATTACCTGCGCATCAGCCAGCATGATGTCCTTCAGCATGGGTTGACCCTTTGGCTCTCCATTTTCCATCCTTACGTAGTGGACCTGGTATCCTCGGATCTGACCATGCTGCTTATTGGGCACGGGCGAGCGCCATGACACTTTAACAGCAGTAGAGTTGACAGCCTCTACCTCGACTTTGCGAGGAGGACCACTAGGAACTGGAACAACATCATTGGACAGAAGAGAATTACAGGCACCTCTCCCACCCATGGCTTTTTCTTTTTCTTAAAAAAGGGCAGACTCACTATGTTTTCTTTGAAGAATACAAATTATTCAACAAATGAAACTGCTCAACCAATCTGCTCTACCTTTCAGTGAAAAGATCAAAAAACATGACTGATGCAAAAAATGGAAGAAAAAGGAGTATTAGAGAAATAGAAAAACATGTAAAAATGTACAAAAGCCAAGGAAGATGCTTTGAGATTCAAAGCATTATAGTACAAAGAGATATTTTAATCATTGAAATAATAATACTACAATAACAGCAACAAAACCACGAAAGATTTCAAAAAAAGTTTCTCTTGTTTTTGTTCGCCAAGTTCTATGTTTTGTTTTGTTTTGATTTTTTTTCCTCAGTAGTATAAAAAGGAGGTTGATAACAAGGCTGTCTTCTGTCACTTTCAAGAATGGAAGAAAAGAAAATGTGAGGAGCATCAGTTTTCCAGATCAAAAAACAAAACTAAAAAAAAGAAAAAAATCCAACAAAAAAAAAAAAGAAAAAAACAACCCTCCCCAAAAAGCAAATCAAAAAGCACAATATGGAAGAAGAAAGCAGTTAAAAAAAACCTAACAAAAAAGCAAAAAAAACAAAACCTGAAAAAAAGTTTATAGACGTAAGTGTTTAAAAATAACAGTGATGGTAAAATCAAGGAAAAGGCAGAAAGTTTTTTTTCTGAGAATTATTTTCATGTTCAAGGAGGAGCAAGAAGGATATGTATGTGCAAAAAGGAGCAGCAAATTCATGTCACTCACAAAAACAGTGCTTTCTGATAAAAAATTACAAAAATATCAAATATAAAAATGGTGTAGAAAGGACAAGTCTTTGATTACAAAGCTCAAAGGGTGATAATATCTGATTATATTTGGTAAAAAGAGAGGAGCAGAAAAAAATTACTGTTTAGCCTACACAAAAGACAGCAGATCGACAGAGAGTCATAGAGGTGCAAACTGATGTAGTGGAGGCAACATACCATCTTCATCTGTCCGAATCAATACTGCTAAGCTCTCTGGGCCAGGTCCAACATCAGTGTGAGCAGTCACAGATATCCGGTACTCAGTCCATTTTTCCAGCTGTTCCAAAAGATATTGGGTACTGTCCGAGGAAATTCCCAAAATTTCATGGGGCTTGACATCTTCTCCATCAATCCCAATGTACTTGATGGAGTATTCAGTGATAATGCCGTTCTGCTTTTCCACCGGTGGAGGTTTCCAACTTACCAAAATGCTAGTGGAGCTGGGGCTTGTGCAACTAATGTCTTGAGGAGGAGCTGATGGCTCTAATTTCAGTAGTGGGTTAAAGGAGGATTTGAGTGGAAGGATAGGAGTGATTGAAAAAAATGAACAAAAGAAAAAATAAAAATAAATAAAGGACACCCAAATGAAAATAATAAAGAAACAAAAGAAAAAGTAGAAACTTAAAAAAGCAAAACATCAGATAATCAGATGCACCTTGGCTTATTAACATGAGGAAACTGAAAATGAAGAGACCAACTAAATGGTGAAAAAGGGTGTGGGGGAAATATATGAAAATGAAGCCTCAAAATAATATTACCTACCTGTAATTAAAATTCTTCTTGAAATAAACAAAAATGTAACACTTTTATGACTACTGATCTATCCTTATAATCACTGCAATTAGTGCAAGCTATAATATTTTAAATGACAAGTGACATGTATTTACTTACAAATTTGGACATATCCCCTTCAAGTGGCTTTACTTTCCTTGAGAAAAAAAATCTCTTTTAACAGAACTCCCAAAAACTTGCAGTAATTGCTAGAAATTGCTCCACAGATTGCCATTTTTGCAGCCTTTCCACTCTCCTAAACAAATTATTTTTTTTTTAAATAATAGAGTCTGCCTGACACAAGTCAACCATAAATTACATTTAAATAGAAAGCATTTAATGAAACATTTATTGCACCCAACATAATAGGAGCATGCAGTCCATAGAAGATGAAGAAAGTTTTAGTCAAAGATTTACCTACCAGGAAAAAGTGACAGGCTTGTTGATTCTGACTGTAACTTGTACTTACCCTAGATCAGCTGTCAGTTTTATTTTTTTAACTCCTCTTGGAGACACCTTTGCTAGCAAAGAGTTAATCCTACCAGTAATGTAAGTTACTTCTACAGAAAAAAAAAATCTACCCCAAACAATGCATCAAGAAAGCAAGTATAGCAGTATTCATTTTACAAAGAGAGTTTACAAGATCAGCACATCAGAATGGTGAGAGTTTCTGACTTTGTTTCATCTCTTGTCACCAGCACCAACCTTCCGGAGCAGAAGTGCTCACCTTTACTGCCTTTTTTTTGAAGGAATATGTAAGCATATTTACCATTTCCAAGCTCCAGGACATTTAAGCATGTATGTTATTTCACTGCTTTCAGTGAGGCAAATCAAGTACTGAAAGTTAGGTATGCATTTATGGGCTTCAATGTACTTTGACTTAGCAAAATCTATGCTCGCTAACAAATCATTCAAAGCACCAAAAAAAATGAGCCATAGCCCAAAGTCACTCGCAGAAGTAGCAGATGCAGATTCCTTTCCTATTTCTGCCTTCTCTCTTATAAGGAAAACATAAATTTTATTGTGTTAGACCTTTATTTACCCCTGTCTCCCCCCTCCCTCCAATTTTCTTCCCCATTTTTAAGGGAAAAAATAAACAAATGGATATTTATATTTATATTAGGCACATGAAACAAAATTAAAACAACAGACAAGGTCTAGGACCTGCTGTGACCTCCTGTATTTACACATGTAGCTTTCAGTTCCCTACAGCTCTTTCCACAGGGATCAATGGCTTTTTACTCAGTATGGTACACTGCTCTTCTGAAGGGAAAGTATGAGGGAATGTACCAGTATTTCAACTACCTAGAGGAGGTGGATAGGGGAACAGATTTATCACATTTAGGATTGTTTTTATATACACTAATTCAGTAATCAAGTACTCAAAACATGCAAATCCCCTTCTACCATTATCTTGTGCAGGAAGTAAAATACTTGTAAAATGCCCCTTAAGGGTCTGACAAAAAAGAAATAAATCCCTGCAGCATCTTCCTCTGATACCAAGATGAAAGGCAATAGCATATTCTGGTGAATATTGCTAATAAACTCATAGAAGTTTATTAATTTTTAATTCATTATACTCTTAAAATGCAAATATATGGTACTTATGTAAGAAAGGATAATTTGAAGGCTACTTGTGTAACTAGTTTTATTAATGTATATACTTTTTTTAAATAAACTTTTTTTGCAAACAAAAGGTTGTAATATTTTCAGCAAATAACTTGGGTCTGACCACTGAAATCAACTGGATCTCCCTACTATCTGAAGACAGAAGGCTGAGAAAAATATAATGTGTTCCTATATTCAAGAAAGGAAAACTGGCAATATCCTTATACATGGAACATGCAAGCCTTGGCTTCTAGATGTTTACTCTGTATGCACAGTCTAAGCAATCTTCGCTCAATATAAGAGAATGAGCATTCTAAATAGTTGAAATGACTCCCAGAATAAATAAATACCTTTTCTTAATCAAATTATTGATTCTGGATTATTAAAATGAAAAGGTGCCTTGCCACTATCTCTAAAACCAGTCCTGTTATATAGCTGTCTTTTATGCTTGTTCCAAATGCTTTAGAAGTGCTTCAGAAACACATTTAGCTTTGGTTAAAGCGTGTAGCACTGTGTCTCCAGTCACACTAACTGCTATTAATAAATAACGCTACCAAGGAATGATTGTGTAATCACATCTGCCATGATTGCAAATTAAAAAGACTCATGCCAATTGAGAAATTGAATTTTCTGTTCTGAATAATATTACTTTAAAAACAGGCTGTTTAATTTAAAACAAATACAAATAGAATTGCTCTAAGTTTTAAAATGACACATTATAATGCAAACTGTCAGAAAAGATTAATCTATCAGGTAAAAGTAACACTTATGGACATCATTGCTAAATATCTGATTGTTTTAGTTAAGTCTTAATTTAAATATTTTAAGGTGTATATATAAATCTCTGACAAATTTCTACCTCTCATTTGCAGGCAAATGTGATGAGTTTCATGACACTGTTTCCACAAGCACCAGTGAGAAAACTACTTTTCTACTGGTGTAAAATGACTGAACACTGTAAAAAGACCAGATTAAGAAAATCTAACAAAATTGGGATTATTAGATACTACAGAAGAGTTGTTAAGAAATTTTTGGTACAGTCTCAAATGTTCAACATGACCCACTCTACAGATTTTTGTACTTCAGGGAGATGCTGCAGAAACAACCCAGTATTACAGGAAATACACAGACGGGTGGAATTTTATGGGTGAAGGACTGTTATTAATGCGCACCTATTGCATGATACAACATTTTACCTTATTAGAATATAAAATAAAATGTGATTATGAAAGCATTATATTGCCTCCTTAGACACTGGTTTACAGAGGTCGTTTTTTGAAACTATGTAAAAGTCACTCATACTAATTTGATCACAATACACCTCAAAAATATACATTTTAAACATTCTTTTGCTTTATTAAGCAGCATGAATGCTGTATTTTGCCTTTATTGATGCCTCTCTGGACTAATGAGATTAATCTCTTCAAGAAATACAACACGAGAATAAAGTTTGCAAGGAAAGACACCTACTTGACTGCATGGTTCTCGCTGAGATTTCTGCTGTTGAAGCACCCAGGCCTTGAGGAGAACGTGCAGCTAGACGGAATAAGTACAGGCTGTTTGGTCTTAAACCTTGCAGACGATAAGATGTAGTAGGTTCGGTAGAAACCCGTTGCTAAAGGTAAGCATAAGAGGATGTCTTGATTAGTATTCAGAGACTCTGAATTCTATATGTTGCCTATACAGGAAATGCTTTCATACTCTGATAACCCCATTGAGGAAAAACTTAAGTTCAGGAAAATAAATCAGAACCAAACTAAACCAAACCAAAAATTAATACATTAATTTGACAAACACATAAAAGGAACAGTATTTTTTAAAGTCAACAGTTTAAAAGGTGGAACTCAGAGACAGAAACACCACTTGACTGTTTGAGGAACAAATAGCTGCGTACAAAGCATAAGAGGCTTTTCAGGCAATACCACATGAACAAAACCTCTTTTACAACAGTGAACTACAGAATTTTATAGTGTAAGTAATCTTGAGTTTAACCATGTAGTTAGATTTTTTCTTCAAATCATTAAGAAGCAAAACTGGCCAAAGGGTAACTTATTATAAGAGGCCTGCATCCTATTTGGAGATGAAAGTATGGTTCTGGCCCCCTTCCACTAAATAAGCTTATGTATTCACAGCGTATGTGTGAAGCTGTCATAAATGTAAGCTCAGCTGAAGCATTAGCAATGAGCAGATGATGCAGAAGAAACCAATAAGACTGACATTCTCCTGCTGCCTTCTGACACTCCTGGCTTCTTTATTTTGTCTGGGACACCTGGTAATATCACGTTTTTCCTATTGGAAAATTACTCTGAAGTTTATAGTACAAACACAACAAAGGCCCTCAAACTGAAAATTATTTATGAAATAATGGTACAGAATAAGTCCATAGCAGGTTTTCATCTGTATTAAAAAACCCCATGTTTTATTCCCAATTATTATTGAAAGATTGAAAAGGCTTGATAATTCTCTTACCTGACGGCATAGAAAAACAAAAATTACCTAAGGCTGAAAATAGACTGCAACATCCAAGTACAAGTCAAAAAAAAGCTTAAAGGTCCATAACATGCCCCCATACACTTTTGCTTCCAAGCCTGTGTAGAGGAACAGGCTTGGAGACATAATCAATGTCTGAAACTGGATGGAACTTCTGTGAAGGACTCATTGCTGTCTACAGCGAAATTCCACTGGCTGGTAACCATCAACAGTATTTTCAGCTGTTTACACACTTTCAATCTGTCCCTAGACTAACTCTTGGGTTTAACAAAGTCTTAAGCATCAAGGCATTTGTACTAAAGAAACTTACTAATACATGAAATTTAAACCATTGCAACATTTCATGTCTGACTCACTGAAGATTATTTAAAAGATGTACAATTGCCACTTACCTCCTCCCCATGTTCTCCATCTTTGTAAACCAGTTCATAGCTGGAAATGGTATCAGAGCGTGGAGGTGTCCAGGAAAGCAATATGCTCGTTTCAGACTCAGGTTCTGCTTTGAAGTTCAGTGGTTGACCAGGTACTAAAGAAAAAGTTGAGTAGTGTTGCCTGTTATTTATTTGGTTAGTTTAACACTTTTGAACCTTTTAAACTACTATCTGAATATTTCACACAATATTACTTTATTTAACTTACTAAACTTAAACAAATTGATTTACGGTACTATGATGTAAATTAATCTGAGTATAGAAAAAGAATACTGATACATTTAATTCATACGTTAAAAAATTATCAATGGTTTCAAATAAATGTTTCATAGTATAAATAATGCACACAAAACTGAAAAGCAATTGAAGAGATGCCTGGTAATAAATACAAGTGATCTAACAACCTACACGTGAAAATGCAAATGTATACATCTATATATTTGTATGTGTATGGGGAAAAGCTAGTAGAACATATGGAATAGTCTAGAATAAAGTGTTAAAACCATTACATTCATTTCCAAATATGAAAGTTACTTGCTCAGCTAATAAAAAAAAAAGACAGTAAACACATCCTGCTCTTTGAGTCACCTACATACTGAATGCTTGTGTAATCTGAAGAAGGTATAACCTACTGAAGAGATCTTCAGTTAAGTTCTCATTAGTGACATATTTCTACACTTTAAAGACTGGTACTTTTACCCATGTAATGGAATTTCTAGTGACAACACACTCTAATTGCAAGAAGTAAAAATACAATTTTGATTGCACTAGACAAGAACGTTCTCTGTTGTTGTATCTTGGGTAACGGTCACAGAAATTATCCAGACCAAATGTTACCTTCATTTACGTCTTCAAATCTAAAGCAAATAATAAGGTTGACTGGGAAAAGACAATAAAATATACCTCTATCATTGGATTGTATAAAATAGTTTTGGCACCCAAGTTCTAAAACATTACTTTCAGTTAATAGTGCTCTTGATAAGGTACAAAACAGTTTTCCACAGCATTTCTAGGTGTTTGAGAATAAAATCATAGAATCATAGAATCATTGGTAGATCATCAAGTCCAACCCTCGATCCACTACCGCTGTGGTTGTAGCATGTTGTTTTTTAAGGGGAAAAAAAAGTACTCCTCAGCACACACTGAGAACCAAGTGTGACAAATAGAATGATGTCACATTTTTCAGGGGAGATCTCTACTACAGCTTTACAAGTATGTATCTTTTGTACAGTGAAACACCTAAAAACTCCATGGAGCAAACAGTAAGAAAAACTGTATTTTAATTTTTATCTTCCCCAGACTTTTACAGAATATTACTCTGAGGATAACACTGTCCTTGTGTATGCTGCTACAGATTTGATATCTAACTTTAAACAGGTAGATAAACTTTCCACGAGGTGCATATTCAAGCTCCTGTGTGGAGGCTGCAATTCCCCACTAGTCCTTTTTTTTTTTTCAATGAGTGAGAGTAATGATTGACCAACTCTTTTTACAGGAACAAAAAGGGATAAGACTAATTAGCTGTTTTTCTAAAAGATGCCTGGTCTAAAAGAGACCACTGCCTAAGTACTGCAAAGTGAAAAGGGGAAAAGATCACAAAACACAGGGAGCAATTACAGCATATATCAACTAAGTATTTTTGACAGCAATACTTCTGATTTTGCAAGGAGAGGCTTCAGGGCTAGAGATGTCTTAGCAGGGAGAAGGGATGGTTTTGGGGGCACTCAACAGTACTCTTAGCACTGATGGAAGGGACGGAAGAAATGCAGCCAGGCTCTTCACAGGGTGTGGCAGGTGAAAAGTAGCAGCCCAAGCTGAAATATGAGAGGCTCAGGACGACACAGCAATAAAGCCAGGACCCAGGGAAGTTGACCATACCAGACTTGGGGGGCTTTACACTTCAACTGGGTGAAGCCCTAAGAAAGTTAGTCTGACCCCACAGCTGAGTCTGCTCTGGGCAGCGGCTGTGGCTTGAGACCTCCCTAGATGATCATCCTGCCAGCCTGAATTGTTTTGTGATGTTACGATCTGTACTTAATGTATGGATACATGAATTGTAGAACACAGCCAGGCAGCAATAGTAAATAATCAGTCAAGTGACTCATATGAAGGCTGGTACCATCTGTTATGATAAATATGGCAGCAGATGGAGAACTAAGGGTCTTTCCTGTCTCTCTGCATGTTTTAAGACCCTCATTCTCCAAGTATTCCTTTAAAAAAAAAACCCCTTTGTGGTTGTAGGTCTGCAATTCTCAATAATTTTTTAAGACAAGTTGATGGCTAATTGGCTTTTCCAAATGCTGTTTGTCAAAATAATACCTTGCTGCAAAATCCAGTCTCCCCTCAGATTTTTTAACTGTAGTTTGGCAACTCTGGTGTTGAAAACACTGACAGAAGAAAGAAGTGACAGAGAAATCTGCATCGCTCCAGGCAGATAAGAGAAGAAGGAGAGGAAAGAAAACAAACCCAAAATAACAGCAACTTAACACTTTGTATTGCTAATAAACTCTCGTAGGGAACCCATTGCTTAAGACAAAGGAAAAGTACTAGTTAAGAAAGAGGAAGAATAACTTTTAAACTGTTTAGGATTTATGCCCAGAACACACAACAGCTGTTAAAAAAAATCTTCAGTGGTACATAGGAGTTAAGCCAAGCTGGAGCTGACAGAAGCTTTACTTCAGAAACAGAAAAAGACCTAGAGAAACTTCAAAATCTACGTAAGTGGACTTCATACTCTTACTGAAGTGTTTTTGGTTTCACACATCAAATCTAACTCCATATTAGCGCTGTACTTGGGCAGGTCACTAAAGGGAATGTTTCTGAGGAAGCATTCTCTCACTACTGTCTGTTTTTTTCTGCTTTGAGGGCAATGTGCTCTACAAAAGTACATTAAAACCCCTAACTTCCCTGTGCTCCAAAATAAGTCTTCTTACTTCTAAACATGACAAATCTTAAGTAGTACACACAATGAAAGACTACAATGCAATAATAAAACAAAGAACAAAGTCCATGACTTTTTTCAAAACTTCATATAAAGTTCTACATTTTTGCTTGCCTAGTTCTCCATGTTTATTGCTGGATAACCAGAAACAAACACCGACTGGTGGCCATTTTCCTTGTGGTTCTGTGTTCACCCCTGATTAAAGTGCCAGAACAGAATCATAAAATGGAATCTCAAATCAGAAGGGCACTTTAGTTTCCTGCACAGCTCCTCAGCTGGCTGAGGTAACCAGAAAACCGTTCCAGGACTGTGCTGGGTTTGCAAGTAATAGTGGAAAAGAGTCTCCAGGCTAAAAAGGGACCTATGACATTGCTAGGGTGAAATACATACCTAGACAAAAACTCAATCAGTTCAATTAGAAATCAGCTTTGTAAAGGACAATAAATTGACCAAGAGAATTTACAATCAGTAGGAAACCTAAAGAGAAAAAGAGTTTATGCTTCTACTTTCTCTGAAAGAAGCATGAAACTCTACAGAGAAGCTCTTAGAACTGAGATACATGAGGTTTCCCCCTTCATGTGTTAGTAACAAAAATTTTGAATGTCTGGTAAAGTAGTTAGCTAGCTACAACACAGAACAGTATCCGCTTGCTATGGACTCTTTTCCTCTGATTTTCTAATCTTCTTTTACTAGAAGAACTCCAGAAACATTAATTTTGTTTAAGCTAAGGTTTCATTTATGTGCCCTGCAAGTCAGATACTTAATCTTCTCATTACTGTCCTTTTTCATGTGTTCAAAACATTAGCCCTTTATAACTGTAATGATCCTTAGTCTCCAAATCATGGAGAATCCTTGGTTTAAAATTAATAGTATGTTTTACATTTTAAGTTTTTGTCTAAAGAAGCATATGCTTACAGCTGCACATTCATTTCGCTGAATATTTTTTCTCTCTCTTTCTCCAGTAACCCACTATCCAATAGACCTTATGCATCTCTAATTCTCCCCTCTTTCTACCAAAGCTCAGAACGAAGACAAGATTCTCTTAATTCCTTCAGTAGCTATCCTCTCTTTGCACAGTAAAAAATGAAATAAAATGAAACAAAATGAAATGAAACAGAAGCAAAACCCAGACAGTTTAAAACTCTAAATTTTCCTGGTACACAGTTAAAATAAGTTGCTCAGAGTATATGTACTTCTGAACACTTTAAGCACAGAAAGCAAATATAGTAAGGTACAGAAGAAGTATGTGCTGAGCCCCTAAACTGGACGCAGACCAACAGAGCTTTTGTTTCTAAAAAAGTAAAAACAGGGCATGAAGTATCACACTAAAAGTTATATCAATATTTCTTTTGTCTAAAATTTGGTAAGTCAATTCACCTAAATAACAGTCCAGTTCTGACTCCATCTTCAAGGGAATAAAATCCTTTGGCCCAAAAGGCAAGAATAAGGACTTTCCTAGGTATAACTTTTGGAATTGATCCTGCCTTATTCAAAAGGCTCATCTCCACAGCTTTTTTTCTGATTAAAGAATTTCTTAAAATGGTGTCTTTTTATCATAAAGAAAACAGTGCTGAAAACAACTGGTTAATTGTCCTATTTCTGGTTGTCTGAAAAATGCTTCCTTCTCTTCCCCTCAAACTACATGCTCCAAGTCAATATTTTAATTAAAAACTTGCTTCACTATCAGCAGAGTTTCGGCTGACCTGCAAAGTAAGAAGCCACTCACAGGCATTTCAAAAGAAAACTCTGCTGTACTAGGAAAGCAAAAATTCCTCTGCACAGTCTTTTTAAGAACAAATTATTAATTTTCATAATTTCTCTCCAAAGATCAGAATACACTTAAGGGAGGAAGAAAGCTTTGAACTATTTAACAGAGCCTGTAAGTCACAGATGTCAGTAAGATTTTGTTGTATATATGCTCTAATATCCCCAAAGTAAGTATAAGGGTTAAGCTATATATTCATAATGGCAGGCTTATTTGTTTATCAAAAAAAAGGAAAAAAAATCAAACATATGTAATCATTAAATCCATTTCCCCTGTTTTTAAATAGCACTTTAGTTTAATATTTTGAATCAGTTTCATTTTGAGAGACTTAAACTAAAACAATCGTATTAAGATTTACAATACAGCAAATCTGGAAGACAAGGGCAAGGAGGGCATTTTATTCTGTGGTGTTCACTGAAGAGAAACTACTGGATAGAAAAATGGGAAAATCTTAGTTTTTAAACATACCCTGAACTGAAAAACTGAACTAGACTTTCTTAGGTTTTTTTCTCTTTTCTGATTTAAAATGTTGGTATTTCAAGGAAAAGTATCAGTGCTTAAGTTTGCCTCCTGTATGCCCCATTTTTTTTTTAAAATTAACCACAAATAAACATTATCAAGTCAACTCTGTTACGAAGTTGAAAGCATGTACTGAGAAAACATCCAGCACTATTAATTTTGTTATAATTTCTTCAGATTGCAACAGTAATCAGGAACAGATGGGCATGATTAACAGCAAATTCTATGAAGGTTTTAATAAACAGAACTTTTCTGAAGTGACCTTAGCAAGTAATGTGACTTGGGACAGTCCAGCTGAGCCTCAGTGCTCATTATTTCGATTCATTCATCCTTTACTGGGGAAGCCACTGTCAAACACTTTCTAATCTAAGAGGTTCACAGTTGTGAACTATGACAGGTATACATACTTATATTTGCATGTGCATACAGACACATTTTAATGTACCACTAGAGGGTCTAAAATAGTTAATTTTGTAACTTCTCAGCTGAGATACTGCAAAAGGAAACACATACCTTTATGTAATACAACACCTAGAAAGATTCCAGGATAATACCTCATTGTCTGTCGTTATTAAATGCATATTGGTAAAACGCAGAAGTAAAAACTGGATGAAACCTAACTGTCTACAGTTACATTTTAGAGACCTGTTTTTTAAGATTTTGAGGGATGCTAAATTCTGCAACAGGAAACGTCCCTGTACTAAAAAATTCAAGTAGTATTATATACTTTAGACAATCACTGACCTACAGTAATATTTCATAGAGCTTTCTCTAAACTGCTAGACAAAAGGAGCTTTTATTTCTTATTGCTACAATAAACCATTTTGTGTAACTACCCCAGAGCTTCTTGCTTTTGATTTCATAAAATATTTTTTGCAATGTTTTTCACTGTGCTTGCTTGTCCTTTGCTAGTAAAACTAATTCATGGACCTAAAACTCCTGAATGGAAACAAAACGACCTAACTGCAAAGACAAACCAAGAAAATGTGACCTTTTGGTGTGCACTTTGTAAGGACAGGTAGGTTTCGATTTATAAATCCAAAGTGTACAGAACTGCTTGCTTGAACCTACACAAATGCTTGTTGTATTTAATACTTTCATGTTTTATTTTGTTCTCAGAACCATACCAACTAGCTGAATACACACGTGGTACACACACATTTTAGACTTCCAAAAGCAAGGCTCACTAGAGTGATGTGGCATAAGGGAGTCACATGCCACCTAAATAAAGGCTACCCACACTGGCAACTCCTCAAAGAAAGCTATGAAGAACTATTTAACAAACTTGTTTGGTGCGCAGAGCATTGCCAAACAGAAGCCTCAACACTTGGCCACCTCCAGAATGAAGGTCTCCCTGAGACTTCAGTTAAACTCCAGATAAGCTTCTTGACACTGATGAAAAAAGAAATAAAAGTGTGAGGGGGTAATTTCCACTCTTCAGAGATAACTTGCACTGTGGAATTAAGAAAATGTTATCGCAAAAGCTGCCTGAATTAACTGATTATCCTTGAAAGGGAGGGTTTTTGCAACATTTTAAACTCAAAGTCTCTCTGTGAAAATTTCTGCATGCATTCAATTTTTTTTCACACAAACTCTGTTCACTGCTAGCTTACCTCCTGTCTGAGTGATGACCTGAATGTCACTAGAAAGTGGTCCATCCCCAACAGAAGTAAAAGCAAGAACTTTCACAGAGTATGCTTTCTGGGGTACGAGATTCCCAATAGTGGTAATATGACTGTCAGCCACGTTGTGCTTCATCCAGCTGTTAACATGTTGAGTGGGGTCCATGGTGTAATAAACTCTGTAACCTTGTATTTGCCCATTAGGTTCCTCAGGTTCTTCCCACTGTACTAAAATGGTGGTAGAGCTCAACATACGGGCCTGCACATTGCGGGGTGCACTTGAAGGTGCTTGCTCTGAAGTCCTTGTTGACACAGGCTCACTGGCTGGCCCTCGCCCAATGTTATTTACAGCAACTACCCGAAATTCATACTCTGAATATGGGCTTAGGCCAGCCACGCTATAACGTGTTGTGGCCACACCATCAATTTCTTTATATGGCTCCTCTGAGTTTTTGGGTTTGTGTTGGATTATGTAGTAAGAAACTGGCTCAGGGTTTCCAGAATCCCAAGTCAATGTTATGCTTGTCGCTGTGCTTTCTGTCACAACAGGTGTTCCAGGAGGTTTGGGTAAGGCTAAAGACAAATGACAAAAAATACAGTCAGCACTAGGTAACAGTAGACATTAGTTACTAAATTAAGAAGCTACAAACAACAAAACAAAATCATAACAGGAAAACTGAATGGAAAGAATGATCCATTCAGAGGAAGCTTTTGGCAACTATGATTTCCTTCAAAAATCTATCAGAAAATCTTCAAGCTCTGTTCAATATGATTAATTTGTCATGAACTAATGATACTAACTTTTGTAATAAATGCCATAACCATATACAGAAGAGAAATCTTACAGAGGGACAATAAACCATTACAGTTTAATTTTCAAATACTCAATGAATACGATTCTTGGACACCCAGCAACTCTAAAAATCAAATGGTTTGTAAAGGTTCCTTCTGTTGACAAGTAAATGCAACATTTTAAGATCTTTAACTGAAATGAAGGCTGGGAGCTAGACACAGAAGAATAATGGAATACTATGGCTAACATTTTAATAAATATTACTTTATTTGGTCTGTGAGCATTACTGCTGTCTGAGCCTCTATTTTGCCTTGTGCTAGTGATTGGCTGGAATATTTACCCTCTTGATTTAAGAGTGCAGGTGGCACTGAGTCCCTTTCAGTGCAATGTATTTGCTCAGAATATGGCAATGAATGAAATAAAAGACTGAAATATGACAATATATATGTGCTTGGGATATACCTTTGACAGTTATCTGTGCTATTGCTTCTATAACACCGAGGGTAGACATAGCAACACAAGTGTAGTTTGCAGACTGTCTGACATCATTAAGCTCAAGGACGTTCCTCCCTATTGGCATATCATCCTCAGGTGTCAAATCTTCTGCTCCTAGCATCCATTTCACATATGGCATTGGTGACCCCACCGCAACACAGGTGATATTTACACTCCCGCCAGGCATGATCTCATGATTTGTGGGTGGGATAGAGAACCTTGGTGGGACTCGTCGAACTGGAACAAAACACAAAAAAAGGTAATAACATATACAAAAAAAAGAAACTGAGTCTTGCATACTGACAGCATGCAGTGTACAGACACAATTTAATGTTTTAACATCTATTCCGATCTGCCAGAAAATATATATATAAGAGAAATATGAGACTAAGCAAGAATTTTGTCTGCACACAATGTGAATTATTCTGTATTTACTTGAGGCTATTAATAGGCACATTCATACAAAGGCTGATTCAGACCTATTAGGGCCCCACACATAACTAACTATATACTAACAATACATAAACACCATGCAAAAGATATACACGCACACGTGCACGCACACACACAGGCGCACATATATATATGCATTTTTTATGCCCATACATATATATATGCACAGAAGAAAACTGGAAGGTCAACAGCATGCTTGAGTTGATCACCAACTTCAATGCTGCGTGCTTCCATTTGATGTGAATAAATGTGCTAGGCCACATTGTCACATCACAGTCCTGGAACACACTGCCTACAGTAAATTGAAAGTGCAATTTCATTTGCTTTCCGACTCAAAGTAGATGCAGCCTCAAGACCTCACACTAACACTGAAACAAACATAAAAAAATATATAATTGCACACAGATACAAATATATATATATATATACACACATATGTATACACATATACAAATATATATAAATATGAATATAAATATATATATATATATATATATATATATATGGAAAGAGGGAGAGAGTCACAGAAGGAGACTAGGCAAAGCCAGTACAAAGTACTGGATTTGGTCATGCAAGCAAGCAAATGACAGAAAAAATAGAGAATCATGCTTAGGGAAATGTCTGAGTAAAAACGACAGAGAGAAAAAGAACTCAGAAAGAAAACATACTGGGTGAGGAAAGAAAACCTGAAAGAGATGGGGATAGGCTGACAGATAGATACAGGAGTTTAAGAGAAGCATAGAGTTTGAGGGAGAAGGAACTTAGATTAAATTTAGGGGGTTAAAAAGCAACTGTTAAGAAGGGCCACTGGGAAAATAGCAGAATATTGAACATTCAGGATTCCACTATGCTCACAGCTAAGGGAAAGCAAAATAAGGATTGATAATATTAGACATTTCTGTATTGACAGCAAGGGGTGTCAACCTTAAACACACAGCAGGACATTCCACTAACAGAGTAGTTAATATTTAAGCAAACACAACACCGAGAAAATTACCAGGCAATAACAGATCAGTGTTCCTGCTTCAAATATTCTCAGTGGTGTGCATATGTGTGTAGGAGGTGAAAGCGACACAGGTAGCTGAGAGAGGCAGGTTTGTATTTAGGCCTTTAATTGGACACTGTACTCAAAACTGTATTTATTTGGCCTTAATAGAGGCTAATGATTAAGACAGCTTTAATTCAGAAAGAAATTAAAAGTAAAATAAGACTACGAGTGAGTTTAAAAAAAAAATACGGAAAATTATATTAGTCTAAAACCTTTCCTCTTGGTTTGATTACATTTCTGTGATCTTCTATGGATTCAGGAGGGGCTTACTGCAATGGCCTCATGAGTGAATGACAGGCAGAAGGGGAACAAGCAGAAAGCAAAACATCCGTAAGCGGCCAGTTCACAGAGGCCACACGAAGCAAATGGCAGGCAATGAGGAACTTCTTGTATTGAACAAAATCCTTATAGACAAAGGAGAGTCTAGTCTTCATGCGCAGGCTATTTAGAAAAGCAACTACTGAAACCATTCCTTGAAAAGCAGGCATCAGTATAAGCAAGAAATTAAAAGGGAAGAAAAAGCAGGAACACTGACCAAGTTTAGTAGACGTTAGTATTAAAGCTAAAAAGATTGCCATGCATCCAGGTTCATTCTCTCTTATCATGCACAACAGTTAGATACCAGCACTCATCAAAAGCCATGACCAGGGCATTCTCTGCTTAAACATAACATTAACTTAAAAAATGCCACAATGCAGCTACATTCATTTCATTTGTATTCTTTGTTATTGGTTTAATTAATAGTTTTGTAAGGTGGGTAAAAAGTAAAAAACACACCAACCTTCTCGCAGCTCTGAGGGATGTAGGGGGTTTGATGCAGAACACAATGAAATGAGGAAAGGAGAAAAACAAGGGAAACACAGAGAGAGTAAAAAGGCCATATCAAGGCTTTCAACTGCTAGTTGAACATCTCTACTTGCGCTAATTAAACCTTCCTGCCTCATCTTGAAAAGTTAGCATTTTCTACAGCTACAATGATGTTAGAAATAATAGCTAGCATAATTTTGAAATTTTCCTTTGGATATAAAGGTATACATGCCTCATGCAGTACAGGAAAGTCAGTATATCGGAGGACAAGAGAAAGAAAATAAAAGATCAAATCACTTTCTATGGATGTCATAACTATGAAAGGTTTTCCTTTCTTTTCTTTTTAATTAGCCGAAAGAGTCACACCATATGAAAACATATCAAGTTGATTGAAAAATCATCTCTAAAAAAAATTTCAAAATCAAGCTAGGCATTTTTTGTAAGGTAATCCACCCTGCAGCAAAGTTTACAGCTATTTATGTTTTCATTCCTATTTCCCCCGCCCATCCCCTTATACTGTAGACACACACACACACACACACACACACATATATACACATATGTATGTATGTATGTATGTTATAGTCTTTGTTTTACAGAAATTTGCATCAATTAGACATAGCAAATACTTCCTGAAACAAAGCCTGTCTTTCTAGCTGAACTAAAAAATATTTTCATATATTAATAACCATTTCTACTACCGCACAGAAGAATATAATTGTTTTCTTATTAATCATACCTGTCATATACACAGGTAATTTCTCAAAATAATATAGCCAATTGGCCACTATCAATCACTCACAAGTCTTACATAAAATATATATATATACATGCATATATAATAAGAAGAAACAGAAAAGAGGAAAATACAGTTGTGCTCTGCATACATCAAGTTATAAAGTTAGAAGCTTTTCCTTTGCAGTTACACAGCAGAGGTCAGACAGGCATACACCTCAATGCCTTGAGGTTACACTCAGCTGATTAGTAGCACACACAGCAGTCACTTCAGGAGTTCGAAAAGCAAAACAAAACCAAACCAATAAAAGAAAAAAATGCAAAGCACAGTTTAACTTAATTTGGGAGAAAAACAGAAGTTAAGATGTAAAAATATGAATATACTTACAAACCTTAACCCACAGGATAGACTGGACTCAAGAGTGCTTTAAAAGAACAAAATAAACCCCAAGCCTTTCCTCTACAGTTTAAAATGAATTTTACAACTGACACATTTACCATGGCATTTTGATTATTACAGTGGTAACTCTACAGATCCTGAGAGTATCTTAGCCCTGAACCTGAATGAACAGTGGATGCCAGGGTTATGTCATTCCTACCTCTGACATATAGATTGGCAGGGGCAGAATAGCGTGTACCCGCACTGTTGGTTGCAACACACTCATATTTGCCTTGGTCAGATTCTTCACTCAGTTCAATTTGGAGGGCACCTGTATGAATATAAAATACATTGCCAAAGAGACGGTCAGAGGAGGCTTTTTCTATCCACAACAATACACCTCTCAACAATATGAAAAGCTTGTATGCGAAGGTCCACTCAACGTCGGTTCATTTTCTTGCTAAGGTGCACAGACAGAAAATGATGCAATGAAAAAAACAAAGAGATTATTTTTTTCACATCATCAGTGCTAGCACAGGAAAACAATTTGCATTTGGCAAAAAAAAAAACCAAAACCCTCTAAACAATACTCTTTCCTAAACCATTAAAATGAAGATGGGTGAGACTGCTTCAAGGAAGAATGGCTTTTGAATAAATCAAAAGAGATTAAGTAGTTGGGTCATTATAATTATTTAATTTTATTTAATTGTTTCAATCTAGTAACAAAAGTAGCACAAAAGGTGGTACTCGTAAAAAAGGCGGGACAGACTTCAAGAAATCTTCTGCTGAAGAAAGGCAAAAATGTGCAGCAATAACAAAAAGGCTGCTTGAAGTGAAAAAAAAAGAAACTGTATTAGTCATTTACAATCATCAAAATATTATTTTAAAGAAATAAAACTCCTTTAAGACATGCAGATTGATAAGAAAGACAGTTTTCCGCAACTTACAAGCTTAAAGCACGTTTGCTGAAAAACAAAGAGCAGTTGAATTAGAAGACAAAAAAGTTAAAAAGCATGGTCTACGCCAACAAGGAAGAACCAACCATCCACTGCTGAGGACCGCAGGAGGGCCTCCACAAGACACCCATCAAAATCCACAAGTGGGATTAGCAGTGTGGTGCCACAAAACCCAAGAAAAATACAAAACAAGAATTACAAAAGAAGTAAACAGTTTTGCTAGAGTATCAAAAACCAACAATACCACATACCACCAAGAATAATGAGTCAGTAACCTTTCATTTCCAAAGCCTGTAGATTAGAAGATCCAAAAATCCAGAGGTGAGAGAATTCCAAGAAAAAGAAAACAATAAATAAACAAACAACAACAACAAAAAAAAACCACCAAAAAAAACCCCACCAAAAAAAAAAAAAAAACACAATAAAGGGAAAAAAACATTTCTGTAATTTTTTAGGGGGGGACATATAATTTTCAATTTTCAGAAGTTAGAGAAAAAAAAAGGATTGAAGAAGAACAAAAGCAAAAACCTTTTATGAAAGATAAGACAAAAAGAAGATAGTCCATGTTGTCTTCTGCATGTCTGCTACTGTTCTCCAGACCATCTTGGCTTTGGTCCAGGACAAGAACAGCTAAGGAAGAAAAAAAATGATCTTTTTTTTGCTCCAGTTGGACAAAAAAAAAGAGGAAGGAAAAAAAAGTAGAATAAAAAGGAAGAAAAATAAAAAAGAAGAAAAAGAAGAAGAAGAAAAAGAAGAAGAAGAAGAAGAAAAAAAAGAAAAAAGAGGGACAAATGGTACGCTGTGACTGGGCTATGGCCAGGAGACCTGGATATGCTTGCTTTGAAGCATATCACAAATTAATTCTTATTTATTTATTTATTCATTTGTTTATTTATTTAATGAACAAACAAAAAAGGAAAATGAAAAGGCAATGTGTAGAAAGAAAGATCACAATATGAGAGTCACTGATCATAACCAAACAGGACAAAGGAAAAAGAAAATCAGATGATGGACATTTCTGTAGGTTTGTATTTTGTTTTGTTTTTTTCCTTAAGGAAAACAAAACAAAACCAAACCAAAAACAAGACAAAGATGAGAGGGATGAAAGGACAGAAAGAATGAGTAAGATCATTCTGTGAACGTTAGTTCAGCACTCTTACCTCTTATTGGTGTACCACCTGGGTGGATAATATGAATGCAAATAAGATTAGAAAGAAGAAGCATTAGTACGAGAAGAAGGAGGCTAGGGCTTTGGAAGAAGAATCAAATTAGATTTACAGAATTAAATAAGGTCTTAAGAGAAACTTGAATTACTATACTGTTAAAACAGGAATATATTAGATAGTATTATCAAGTTATAAAAGCAAGTTTCATTGTACCACAAGGGGCAAAAATGCTACAATTGGCTGCACTGCCATTCTCAGAGAAGCATCTGAGTTCCTAGACGTTTGGTTATATAGAGTTAGATATGAATCAAATATGCCTCAAATAACTTAAAGGAAACTTTACAAAACTGTACTTATGACATAGTTTAGGAAAATATTGGAAATTCTATTTAAATATATATATATAAATCTATATATATATAAAAAGAGGATACACTGAAGGCTATCTCAAAACAAACACTGTAGTTTAGGCTGGATTATGGCATTTACTGTTCTAGATCTACGTGATACATGTGTACTGTTTCTTTTAGGTGTTGCTATGACTGATAAGACAACATTTCTGTGGAGGTGTGCGTGTGCGCCACTAAAGGGATCTGGTGACTACACTGACTGTTAGTAAAATGCATGCCATGCATTTTAAGAATAATAATGCTAATCATATAATAATTATCATAATAATAATATTCTGAATATGGAAATTAGTGGGGGTGAAGTGCGCTTCAGAACTAAGCACTTACCAATAGATTCTGGAGATTTAAATACGGAGAGAAGAAAGACAGCATAAAAATATTATTATATTCCTTATAATTTGGTACAAAGTTTTCAGTTAAAACTTTATATACTAAATCATCTATGTCACATGTGAAAAAAATCTTAATTTACATTAACAGAAGGTTAATTTACACAGTTCTGCTGACAACAAGCAAAAAGTCAGTTAACAAGACGATTTAACATCACAGGACAGGTCAAAAGCTGAGAATTCTGGGAAGACACGTGATTAAACAACTTAGATTCTACAACGATATCTACTACAATTGTCAAAGTAAAAAGCTCATTATATCCCAGTGATCTTACTTTGGGACAAGCTTTAAACTTGATAAATCTCGAGATTTTGTTGTTGTTGTTGCTTTTATTTAATCTAAAGAGAGCAAAAGAATAAACTAGGGCAGGAGGAGAGTGAAAGAACTGCTAGGGAGGTGCAAGGGGCAAAGAGAAAGAGCAGCAAAAGCTGGATTCTACACCAAAAGCAGACTTCTGTAGATCCAGAAAATGTAGGACTCATAAAGCTTTAGCGTGGGCGCACACTACTGTGGCTAAATGTGTTGGAAAAATGCTCAGCCAGCAAAAAAACCCCAACTTTATTCCACAGATTACCCAAAGATTTCTTTTCCTTTTTTTTTTTTTTAAGGTATAAATCTGCATGGGAAGAAGTACTGTGCTTTATGTATTTGTGAGAGGAAAGAAGATGTGTCCAAACTGGCTAATCTTTGGTGAAGTCAAATGTGGAAAAGATAGCACAAAACACATTTTAAATTTTAATTGAAGTGTCTAATGCAGGTTTTGGTTTTGATGAATATAACCATTGGTACTCCTTGCAATTTCTGAATGAAGTCCAATGTTGAAATAAATTTGTTAAAAAAAAATAAAAAGGAAAGAAGAAAGAAAGAGGAGAAAATGGATCCATCAAGTACTGCAAAAAGCAGTAAAGAAAAAAATTATCAAAAAATACAGTCACAGCAGTGAGCAATGTGGAGTAAACAGAAGCTGCAAAACATATAGAGACAGACTCTATAGAAAGCTATGACAACATCACAGACATGGACAACACACTTAGTAACACAGAAAAGGAGAGGAGAAAGAGAAATTATTACCTATAAATAAAAATTTTAAAAAAAGGAAGAGAAAAAAAAGAAAGAAAAAGTGAGAGAGAACAACTCTGGGCGTTGGTGGAAACAGTAACAAGACCCTACCTGAGCGTAGCTGCTTGATGCGGCCATTGTTGTTGCTCGTGTCAACAGGTAGGAAATCTTTGAACCAAGTTATTTCGGGATCAGGATTGCCACTGGCTGCACATAACATGGTAGCTGTGCGAGTTCGTTCAACCACCTTCAGCTGTGGGCCCATATCAATGGTGGGAAAACCTCGAGGAATTTGATCCTCTGGAAAAAAAATGTGTAAGTTGAAGGATTTCACATTTGTTACACAGTACTGCATGAAGGCCTGAATCATCAGCCTGCTTAACATTCAGGGGTCACCTAATTGTTTGTACATATGGAACTGAAAGGAACTGAATATAAGGACTGAAAAAAACAGATACCTGCTCAGTATTTTTGGTTAACTTACACTGATTAAAAAGTTGATAAAAATTAAAAAATTCATAAAAATTGTCTACAAACTTTATACTGTCTTATTTAAATGCATTAAATCACATGAGATATGCTGCATAGTGTATAATCATTAGACTCATACAACACTGATGTTGCTCTGCTTGCACAAGTCCTCACTATTTCATGTGATATATTGAATTACCATGTCTATCAACAATAGGGAAAAATCCTTTTCTATACATCAAAGAAATGCATAATACAATCATGCAGTATAGAATCTGGCCAGTGACTTGAAAGAACCAAGTTATGTTTCTTGCTTTTACTATTATTACTTATCTGCTGTCGGTCTTAATGTTTATTGGCCCTGTGCTTCAGTTGTCCATCTGTAAGATGGATATGATAGTGCTTTACTGCTAGAGAGAAGTGCTGTGAGGATGAGTGCATTACATGATTTCAAAGCACTGAGAAATTCTAAACATTGGAGCTATGCAGATTAGCAAAGCTGAAGTGACAGGATATTCATAATGGTCTTGAATTAGACACAACAGAGTCTATTAAGACACTTGGATATGATCAAAAATCCATATCCTAGTGTGGTCAATATTGAAATATTAAGAAATACTGAACAAGAGCAACCAGCTTTCTTAATATGATACCTGTTAGCAAGTAGCACTGGAAGCAGAGTGGGATCAGGCAATTTTTCAGAAATTAGGTTAGCATAGCTAAAATAATCTATTTGAAATACATCATCTTGCTCCTCATGTCCATTACAATGGCAAAAATATTTTTATCACAAAATAATAATTTTTCCCTTAAAAAATGACAAGCAAAAAAAATCTAAGAAAGAGGATCAACATTAACTATAAAACATGTATTATTAAATGTCTTGACTGGTCATTACTGACATGCAATTGATAAGGGGATAAAACTAACGCAAGAAATTGATCAATGTCAACTCTCTTCCATGAAGAAGTGTCACATTTTCAAACAGTTAGGTAAGTTTTCAGACTTTTCTGAAAAATGTATAGCAAGCAAGTGCAGCCTATAAATCATTGTAGTTCCCAGGGTGTGAAGTTGCCCATGAGCTACTTAACTGCTTGCAATACGTAGCACGTAGATACCCACAGAATCACAGAATAGTTTGGGACCTTGAGTCATCTACTTTCAACACTTCTGCCATGGACATCCACTAGACCAAGTTACTCAGAGCCAGATTCAGCCTGGTCTTGTACACCTTCAGGGACAGGGTATCCACAACTTCTCTGGGCAACCTGTTTCAGTGCTCCACCACCCTCACAGTACAGCTTTTCTTCCTAAAATTTAAGATAAACCTATACTCCCCTTCAGCTTAAGACAAATCCCCCTTTTACTATCACTACCTGCCCTTGTGAAAAGTCCCTCTCTAGCCTTCTTGTAAGCCCCCTTTAGGTACTGAAAGGCTGAAGAAGTTCTCTCCAGAGCCTTTTTTTCTCCAGGTTGAACAGCCACAACTGTCTCAGCCTTTCTTCACAGAAGAGGTGTTCCAGACCTCTATCAACTCTCCAGTGTAGCTCTCCAGTGGACTCATTCAGACAGGTCAGTGTCTTTCTGGTGTTGGGGGCACCAGATCTGGATGCCGTACTCCAGGTAGAGTCTCACAGGAACAGAATAGAGGGGGTAAGCATTTCCCTCAACCTCCTGTTCATGCCTCTTTTGATGCAGGTTAGGATGTGATTGGCTTTCTGGGCTGCAAGTACAGATTACTGGGTCATATTGAGCTTTTCATCCACAAACAACCTAATCTTTCTCCCCAGAGCTAGTCTCTATCCATTCTCCACCTAGCTTGTATTTGTGGTTGGAATGGCTACAACTCAGGTGTAGTACCTTACACTTGGTGCTTGTTGAACGTCCTGAAGTTCACAAGGTTCCACCTCTCAAGCCTGTCCATGTCCCTCTGGATGGCATTCCTGCCCTCCAGCATGTCGACTGCACCATATATCTTGGTGTTGCTGGCAAACTTGCTGAGGGTGCACTCAATTGCACTTTCCATGTCACTGACAAAGACGCTAAATAGTTCTCATCCCAATACAAATCTCTGAAGATTGTGTCATTGCTTTCCAACTAGACATTGAGCTGTTGACTGCAACTCTTTGAGTGCAATCATACAGCCAATTTTTTATCCACCAAGTGGTCCACTGTCAAATTCATGCCTCAGCAGTTTATAGACAAGGATGTCACACAGGACAGTGTCAAATGCTTTACACAGATTCAAGTAGATGATTTTTGTTGCCTTCTCTTGTCCACCACTGCCGTAACTGCACTGTAGATGGACACCAAATTTGTGAGGTACTATTTGCCTTTAAGGAAGCCACATTGGCTGTCAACAATTATTTTGGCTGTCTCATTATCTTCCATGTACCTTAGCACAGTTTCCTGGAGGATCTGATCCATGATCTTGCCAGGCACTGAGGTGGGACTGATCAGTCTGTAGTTCCCTGGGTCTTCCTTATCTCCATTTTTAGAAGTGAGGGTCATGTTTCCTCTTTTCCTGGGAACTTTACCAGACTGTCATGACTTCTCAAATATAGTAGTGGCTGTATCCTTCCATTTCAACACTCTAGTCGTAGGAGACATCCCACTGGTTTTCCATGATGCCAATAAGGTCGTAGCCCTGCAGACATCCACACATGTCTACTTCCTCTTATTCATTCCCCATGTTGCATGTGTTAGCCCAGAGGCATTAAGTTGCCTCCACCTCACCTCCAATGAAGGTGACTTTTTGGAGTGGCTGGAATTTCTTGATGCTGTCCAGGTCTTCTGCTGTTGACCTACATACTCTCTCCAGGCTCTGAGCATCTCTTGCTGGCTCAGGCATCTAACTGGTACGAGTGGGATGGCATGGTATCCCACACCTTATCACTACTAAACCTGATGATATCCCCCTCCTCTGTTAACTAGTTTAAAGCTCTATCAATAAATCCTGCCAGCCCTTGACCAAAGACCCTCTTCCCCCCACTGAGAAAGGTGAATCCCATCTGCATTTAGCAAGCCTGGTGCCATGTAGGCCATCCTGTTATCAAAAAACCAAAATTTTGATGGTGACACCAGTCATAGTACCATGTTAGTCCATAGGCTTCTCTTGATGTCACCTTCTGCAACTGGAAGAATAAAGGAAAAAAATAACCTGCACCCTTGATTCACCAATCATCCTAGGGCCTTGGTACAGTAAATACAACTCTCGGATAAGCTTCTGTAATTCTTCAGAACTAGTAATGCTTAAATGTCAATTCACCAGCCATAGGTTCTTCCCAAAGAAAGGTATGTTTCATGTCTGCTTATAAACATGAGGTCTTTACTTTGGTATTAACTGTATTTGGTATTAACAAGATTTGACTTGTGACACAGAACAGGATTTTTATGACCTGACCTTTCCTTTCCTACTTGGCTCATACAGAAAACCCCAGAGTCTCTTTTGCAAATACCTAAGTGTACAACAAAGATAATTTATCCTGAATACTAATAGGATGGAGTAGTAAAGAGTTTCCCTTTCTTATTTTTAATAAGGGCAATTAAATTCCATCCATCTGCCTTATGCATAGAATCTCTTTGAATGAATGCTCTTCATGAAATTTTCATGAGAAACATCACAATGTAACAGACTCGAATACCCAGAACTGTTATGTTTTTGACAGTTGTGGCTTGTTTCCAACCTGGTTTTCAGGTATTTGGCAATGAACTCCAATATTCAACATCAAATGGACCAGGGAAATAGTGAAATTTCTAATTGGAGGGCTTATCACAGTGGATTTACTTTTTAAGATGTTAATTGTTTTTTTTCTCTCTAAGTTTATTCACGATTTGTACAAAACTGTCTTTACGCTTTGATGATACCAAGTTTGACAGATCATCAAACACACTGTGAAAGAGAACTGAGGATCAAATCATTGAAGAACTGCCTCTCAGCCACAGTAAGAGCAAAGTAACTATTAGAAAATTTTGATATATTGGTACTTCTACAATTTTACATGAGGTGAACAGAAAAATATTTTTTACTGATCCTTAATATGCTCATTAGGCTCTAAACTGTAGTATATACCACTCTTCAATTAATATTTAGTTCTAGTTAATTAGTTTCCAATTCATCAACAATTTAAATCAGACCTGACATTCCCAAAGCCATTTGGTACTGTAATTTTGAGAGGCCATTAAAGGTCAGATTTTCTGTCCTTGTGGCTTAGTTACTTATACATGTAATACATATTTTGTTTAGGATGACAGATACAAGGGATTTAGAAACAGAGCATATTCTTTGAATTTGTTAGGTGTCTTAACGGTGCTGTGTTTCATTATTAGTATTAAGAGAATGCATTTAGTACCATGCTAGTATCATTTCCAGTTGCTGCAAGAGCTCTACAAAAGTTATTTTTCATCCAGTGTATGATCTGAACAGCATAAAAGGCAATTACAAAGAGTGGTTACCAGATGAGCCCTTAAGATAGAATGATGCACAATGGCTTTGCCTTGCTTTGTATCATGGTTGTTAGTATTTCTGAACTCTCTCTCTGTGTATTCAACCTGCTTGACATTGTTCATTCAATCCACACAGCACAGGCAACAAACAGAAGGAGTTGGAAGCCACTGTGATGCTAGAAAGCTATGACCTTCTTGCCATAACTAAAACTTGATGGGACATGACTGGAGTGAGACTATCAATGGCTACAGGCTGTTCAGAAGAGACAGAGGAGGAAGGAGAGGCAGAGGGGCTGTTCTCTACATCAGGAGGTGGTTTGAGTGTGAAGAGTTGTCTCTGAAGAACAGTCACGAGCACGTTGAAAGCCTGTGTGTAAGAATCA